TATAAATAACTCAAATGTTGTGCTGGGTATGGTGATACATAACTATAGTCACAGCATTTAAAGGCTGAGTTAGGAAGATTGCTGTAACTTTGAGTCAGACCTGGGTACAGTAGAAAGTATGAGGCCAGCCAGGGTTACCTAGTGGGATTCTGTCTAAAAAAACAAAACCAAACAGGGCCTACAAGATGGCTGAGTGGGTAAAGGCCTCATGACATGAGTCTGATCCCTAAAACCCACGGGATGGAGGGAGAGAACTGACTCCTACAAGTTGTCTTCTGAGCTCTACACATGCACTGTGGCATATGCACACACACACACACACACACACACACACACACACACACACGAGATTGAAAAAAAAATCAAGTAAAGCTGTTCATTGCTACTCCCTCATACCTCATATTTCTCTCCTCTATTTCTTCTTCAAAAAGTTCTTGATGTTACCAAACTTTTGTATCAACGAATTCCTACCTACATCTCCCATATTCCACATCCCTCCTTCCTTTTCAGAAATGCTAGGTGGCATAGTATATATGTATGTTCATTTTGCTTAAGATTATTGTGTATCAATATATAAAGAGCTGCATTTTAAAAATGTTGGTTTTAAAATAATTTTCATGAAATTAAATTTTTTGCATGTGTGTCCACCTTGATCAGAATTTGGTTTTGAGATGGGCTCTCTCTGTATCCCCCAGTTAGCCTAGAACTCGTTCTATAGACCAGACTGGCCTTGATCTTGATCTTGCTGGCCTCTATCTCCCGAGTGCTAGGAAAAAGGCATAGTCCACCATGCTTGACTGTTCCAGTATTTTGAAGGAAATAATTTCATTTTGATCTCTTGTTTTAACAGAGCTGTGTTGCTGCTTTCCTTGATGTTGTGATTGGGGGCCGTGCAGTGGAGACTCCACCAATGTCCTCTGTTAATCTTCTGGAAGGATTGAGCAGAACTGTGGTTTATATAACCTACAGTCAGCTTATTAGTCTGGTAATGCTTTATTCTTTAGTAGAATTTTCTTTGAAAATTCTCTTAGCCAAGCATGGGCAGAGTCACAGATAAATACATCATGTGAGAAGTATATATTATTTTTGAAGAATGTATTTTACTAGTAAATGTCCTTACTTTTACAAGGTGAACTTTATGAAGAGTGTGATGTCTGGTGATCAACTGAGAGAAGACAGAATGGCTCTTGACAATTTACTGGCAAACCTGCCCCAGGCTAAGCCAGGGAAAAGCAGCAGTTTAGAAATGACTCCCTACAGTACTCCTCAGATGTCTCCAGCAACCACTCCAGCCAATAAAAAGAATCGATTACCTATAGGTAATGAGAACATTTCATGTTGCAGTTTTTCTTTAAACTTAATATGTCTTCAGGATTGGAGATGTGGTCCATTAGTTTGCCTAGTATGCTGACTCCTGGGGTTCAAGCCCCAGCACAGCTTAAGCCAAGTGTTGTGGCAAATGAGTATAATACTAGCAACGAGAAGGTGGAGGTGGATATCAGAAGTTGAAGGTCATCCTTGACTACACAGCAAGCTCTTAGCAAACCTGTGTTACATTAGACCCTGCCTTTCAAAAAATAATTATATTTAAACTTTATTTACTTAGTTTTTATTTATCTTCATGCACAGAAAATTTATAGCCTGTATCAGACACTGGATAAGTCCTTGACAAGTGTTTCATTTAATCCATATAAAGATTCTATCATGATATGATCACTGTCTTGCACTCGAAGGTCCTTATTAGACCCTAGAGATACAAAGACCATTAGGATCTTTGCCCTTACTCTCAGGCTAATCGATGAAAGGCAGTTGGGGAGGACAAGAGCAGTGCCCTTCCTAGTATTGTGTTCTGGTGGAGATAAGCATGGGATTATGGGATCCTAACTCGGCCAAGAGGTGGTGGGATGGAGAGGCGTGCAGCCTGCATTCTCTCCTGAGGAGTAGATGGGAGTTAGATTTAAGAAGTGGGAGAGTGTTGAGGCCCAGGAAACAGGGCTGTTCTAGTACCTGCTTATGATGAGAGACTTGTCATAAGTGATCATTGTAGTTTACACATTGTTTTAGGTTACCTGTGTTTTCTCAGAATTCTGCTGGGGATTGAACATTGCCTTGCACGTCCTAAGCAAGTACTCTGCCACCGAGTCACATCCCCAGCTTAACTTCACATGTTTTAAGAAGAGGACTTCATTTTAGCTTCCATGAACTCAATTGTTACAAACACAGTTTGTTAAAAATTAATATGCTTTCTTGGGAGGCAGAGGCAGGTGGATCTCTGTGAGTTCAAGGGCAGCCTGGTCTACATAGCAAGTTCTAGGCCAGCTGGGGCTACAGGGAGACCCTGTCTCAAAAAAGACCAAAAAAATTTTTTAAAATTTGTCTTTTGGGGCTGGAGAGATGGCTCAGTAATTAAGAGCACTGGCTGTTCTTACAGAGGACCTAGGTTCAGTTCCCTATACCCACATGGTGGCAAACAACCATCTGCAACTCCAGTTCCGGGGAATCCAACACCCTCTTCTGAGGGTGCATTGTATGACATGGGTGCATTTACACACATGCAAGCAATACAGTCACAAATAAAAATAATAAATTAAAAAAAATTAATATGCTTTCATTCACCGTACTATGGATTTATATCAACAGGAATCTGATGTCAGGTTTTTGACTTTTCTGTACTATCCAAAATCATCAGATTCATAATTGAAAATAGGAAAAGTGGTGTTGGAGAGACAACTCAGCGGTTAAGAGCACTGACTGCTCTTGCAGAGGACCCGGGTTCAATTCCCAGCACCCACATGGTGGCTACAAACCATCCTTAATTCCAGTTCCAGGAGAATCTAAAGCCCTCTTCTGACCTCCGGGGCATTGTATAACACGGGTGCACTCACATACATGCAGGCAATACACTGGTGTGGTGGTGCACACCTTTAATCCCAGCACTCGGGAGGCAGAGGCAGAGGCAGGCAGCTCTCTGAGTTCCAGACTGGCCTGGTCTACATAGTGAGTTCCAGGACAGCTGGGGCTACAGAGAGACCCTGTCTCTAAAAGACCAAAAAAAAAAGGAAAGGTGATACTTAGCAAATTTTTTTTTTTTGGTCTTTTTGAGATAGGATCTCCCTGTACCCCAGTTGTCCTGGAACTCACTATGTAGACCAGGCCGGCCTAGAACTCACAGAGAGCCACCTGCCTCTGCCTCCCGAGTGCTTGGGATTAAAGGTATGCACCACTACACTGGCTTATTTTTATTTTATATGTATGCTTGTATTGCCTGCATATAGGTAAGTGCACTGTTGTCATGCAATGCCTATGGAGGTCAGAAGAGGATGTTGGATCCCCTAGGACTGGAGTTACAGACAGTTGTAAGCTGCCATGTGGGTGCTGGGATTTGAACCTGGGTCTTCTGCAAGAACAGCCAGTGTTCTTAACCACTAAGCCATCTATCCAGCCCCCAGCAATTTTTAATATTATGGGTTATGTGTACTCTAGTAGCATAAGGAAACATTATTTTTGGTAGAGCTATTTTTTCCCAGTGTTTATTTGCTGTGCATTAGTTTTTTTGGTTTTTCATTTCCTGTCATGCAAAAATGTTGTTAGACGGATTTAGTGGAGAGTAATTTCAAATGATTGTTCATTATTTGTATGGTCATGTGACCTTGTTATTGCAGTTATTTCATGTTTAAAAAATATATCCAGTGTTTAGAGGGTTGATTTTTTTTTTTTTTTTTTTTTTTATTTAATGTTTTTGCAACCCAGGACAACAGTTAGCAGCCATCACTGCCTGGGATTCCTCAGCCACCAATCTTACTGCTCATATTCCTCTAGTGACCCCATTTGGTGGGTAGTAGGCTGTTCTTCCTTCTTTCTATAACTGTACTTAAGAAGTAGTTCATATAAATATGCTTCATGTGCATGTTGCTTTTGTTTCCTATAAGTTGCTACATGAAATTTGATCACTTACATTTTAATAAATTGTAATCCTAAAGTTTGCTAAGTTCATAGAGCCGCTCATGAAGTTGATCATAAGTTCACAATTCAGTAGAAGGTAGGGAGGGCATCTTGGAAATTGGCGTGATGTGAATTCAAATGAAAATGATTAGTGAAAAAAATTAAAAGTAATTAGTGAAGAGGAATTGTTTATATTTCTGCCTTTCTTCATGGAGGTCAATTTTTTCTCAAAGTACAATTGACTTGTTACTATTGAGTGTTTTTGCTTTATGTCTGTACTTTTGGTTATTTTGTACTATCAGAGAACATCTACTTAGCATATAATTATATTGAATTTTATTACTCTGTGAGGGAAAAGTGAAACTTCTTGTAGAAGACCAAAATACTTAGAAAAATTGTTACAAGAAATTAAATCTTCAGTGTTCAAAATTTCTTAAACAGCCTGGTATGGTGGCACATGCCTTTAGTCCCAGCACTCGGGAGGCAGAGGCAGGTGGATCTCTGTGAGTTCAAGGCCACCCTGGTCTACATACTGAGTTCCAGGCCAGCTGGTGCTACAGGGAGACCCTGTCTCAAAAAAGACCCCCCCACACCAAAATCTTCTTAAATGATATAAAGAATCTGCATACCTTTAATCTGAGCATTCAGGAGGCAGAGGGAGGTGAATCTCTATGAGGTCGAGGCGAGCCAGAGTTACATAGTGAGACCTTGTCTCAAAAAAAAAAAAAACAAAAAAAACTACACACACACAGAGTGTGTGTGTGTATGTGTGTGTGTGTGTGAATATGTATATAATGTGGGGCCAGGGGTAGATCAGTGATAGAATACTTGCCTAGCGTGGGCAAGACCCTGAGTCCAGTTTCCAGCACCAAAAATAAATAAGATTTTAAAAAAGAATCTATATAATGGATGGAGAAAAAGTATTACTTGTAGGATTGGCAAGATGACTCAGAGGGTAAGGAACTTGCCACCAAGCCTGGTAATTCGAGTTTGATCCCTATGATTTACATGGTGGAGAGAGAGAATTAACCCTTATAAGCTGTCCTCTGACCTGTACATCAGTGCTATGGCTAGTGCCAGGTGTACACACACAGACATATAGACATAGAAAGATACAAGAAATACATGAAAAGAGAGAGGGAGAAAGTATTACTGGTAGGGAAAAACCAAAAATAATTAAATCTTTAAACAATTTTTACATTTATTTACTTATTTTGTGTGTGCATGTGTATGTTGGATATGTGCCACAGTGCATACGTGTGGAGGTCAGAGAACATGTTGGGGGGGTCAGTTCTTTTTACCATATGGGTTCTGGGAATCAAACTCAGGTCATCAGGCATGGCAGCAAGTGCTTTTACCATTGAGCAATCTCATCAGCCTGAATCTTTTATTACTACAGAATGTTTTAATAAAGCAGAAAGGAATCGTTTTTACAGATAACGAAATTTCTTTGGTATCTCTGGAAAGGGACCAGTGTATTTTAGGAGTGAGAGTTATTCTTTCAAAAACTGACGCTGGTTTTGCCAACAGTTTTTTAATTAGTTTATTGGGCATGGTAATGGATGCCTGTGATTTCAGCATCCAGAACACAGAGGCAGGAGGATAGTGAGTTTGAGAGTACTCTGAGCTATGTAGTGTAACCTGTCTTTTTTTTTTTTTTTTGGGACACACTGTCTCCTCTTAGCCCCAGCTGACCTGGAGCTCACTATGTAGATCAAGCTGGACACAATCTCACAGAGATCTTCCTCCCATTAAAGGCATATGCCACCATGTCCAGCTGGGCCCCTATCTTAAAAAATGAAGACAAAATGTTACTTGATACAGTTATTAGATTTCCACATGAAAGTTTGTAACACTGTAAGTTCATTTATTAGCATGGGAGACCTATAGCTTTTAAGGCATTCATAGGAAAATAAAGTGTCGTATAAGTTGAGAAACAAGGTAATGCTTTTCTTGTCAGCCAGAGTCTTAAATTGGGATGCATTTGCTACATACAGATGAGAACAGATATGGCACTTCCTGTCCAGTGGAGGTGGAGCATTAATTCTGATTAGTAGTTTTGAAAGAGAATCTGTATTAGTTATCAGAGAGTAATTGGGAGGATCTAGTGTTTGATTTTTCCTATCCATATTTTTACCATCATCTTTTATGCATGCATAAAAGTTCAACACACAAAAAAATACATTTTTTGTATTCAGTGTGCCATTTTCTTTATTTGACTTTTTCTCTTAATTATTTTATTTGTTAGCAACTCGGAGCAGGAGCCGAAGTAATATGCTAATGGACCTACATATGGACCATGAAGGATCTTCTCAAGAAACCATCCAGGAGGTACAACCAGAAGAGGTGCTGGTCATTTCCTTAGGGACAGGTCCCCAACTTACTCCAGGGATGATGTCAGAAAATGAGGTAAGAATGTATTGCTACATTTAACTTGCACCTATCAATGATAGGAAATTTAAGCCCAGCATGGTGGTACATATCTATAAGCCCAGCATATGGGAAGCTGAGGCAAGAGAATTATGACTTACAGGTCAACCTGGGCAATGTAATTAGTTCCAGGCCAGCCTGGTCTACATAGCAAGACTCTTGTCTGTCTGTCTGCCTGCCTCTCTCTCTCTCTCTCTCTCTCTCTCTCTCTCTCTCTCTCTGCCTGCCTGTCTGCCTATCTATCTCTTTGAGAGAGCTATCACTTGCTTTTAATCAATATTTGTAGCTTTATCTGTTTAGGCTGCTATAACAAAATACTAAGGGTTAAATATATTTCATTTCTGGGAAGATTATTGGTTTTTTTGGTTAGTTATGTTGCTTTGGTGTTTTTTTTCAATGCTGTCTCTCTTGTAGCCTAGGCTGGCCTTGAACTCTGGTTCTCCTGCCTCTATCTCCCAAAGGCTGGGATTGTAGGTATATGCCACTACACCAAGCGTAAAGTTTTACATCAATAGATAAAAGAATGCTAGTGGTTTCTAATGAACAAATATTTATTTCTGATAGTTCAAACATGCCAAAATCAAGGCATGTTTGGGTGTATTCTTAGGGTCTGATTTCTAGTTCATAGAGGCACCAGAGCTCTCACTGTTTTCTTATGTGGTGGAATGGCAAATGAATTTACTTATGCTGATTTTAGAATCCCATTCATGAATGCTTTGCCCTCATGAGCTAATCACTCACCTAAGGCACTGTTTCCAAATACTATTACTTTGGGGTTAGAATTTCCCCACATGACTTTCTTTTAATTTATTATTTTTATTTTATGTGTATGTGTGTATTGCCTGCATGTAGGTAAGTGCACCCGTGTTGTGCAATGCCCAAGGAGGACAGAAGAGGCTGTCAGATTCCTTAGAACTAGAGTTACAGACAGTTGTTAGCTGCCATGTGTATGCTGGGATTCGAACCTGGGTCTTCTACAAGAATAATCAGTGTTCTTAACCGCTGATCCATCGCTCCAGCCGCTCCCACCTCCCTCCCTCCCTACCTCCCTCTCCACAGAGTTAGGCTGGGCTCCAGGTCTTTATATAGCTAAGGATAACCTTGAACTCTCTGTTTTTTAGTTATGTGTGTATGTGTGTATGTACTGAGCCATCTCACTAGCCCAGAAACAACAGCATTTTATATTCAGTAGTGATGGCTTCTTTTTCAAGAAAATTCATTACTGGCTTGGAAAGAAGTCATGGTTTATATAAAATCCAGGTGTGGTAGTTTGTATTTGTAATCCCAGCACTTGGTAGGCAGGAGCAGGCAGATTTTTGTGAGATTAAGTCTAGCCTGATCTACATAGCAAGTTCCAGGCCAGCTGGGGCTACAGGGAGACCCTGTCACAAAAAGACCATAAAAAGGGCTGGAAAGATGGCTCAGAGGTTAAGAACACTGACTGTTCTTGCAGAAGACCCAGGTTCAAATCCCAGCACTCACATGGCAGTTAACAATTGTCCGTAACTCCAGTTCGAGGGGATCTGACAGCCTTTCAGTCCTCTGTGGGCATTGCACGACATGGGTGCACTTACCTACATGTAGGCAATACACGCATATGCATAAAATAAAAAAAATAATAAAATATTTTTAAAAACAGTGGTTTATCAAGTGATGGTGATAGTTGGTAAAGCTGTTTGGGCTGTCGTGTGGCTGGTAGGGAAAAGGATTGTTAAACTACTACACACACACACACACACACACACACACAAGTAATCTGGCAAAACTCTCAATTAGCTATTTTGGAATTCTGGGATATAGTAAAAATCAGCAATAACAATAACAGAAAGCAGTGAAATGCTTTAATGAAGGAAAAAAAAAACTGAATTTTATTGAGAGGTCTGTGACATTGATTCTTACCCTGTTACTAGCCTCTTCTGCCTGCCTTGCAAACAGCAATGTGCATTCCTGTGTAGTTCGCTGGTATCCCGAAGAAGCACTATAAAGCTCATTCTCAGAAATTTTGTTTTGTATTTCCATTGTTTGTAGGTTTGAGGCAGTGTCTTATGCAGCCCAGAACTACCTGGAACTCTGTTCCCCCATCTCTGCCTCCCAAGTCCTACCTTTGTTTTGCATGCCAAGATTAAAGGTAGCTTTGACAGATTGTCAAAAGCACTAGAGAGGCTTGAGGGTGTTGCTTGGTGGTATAACATGTGCTTGCATGCAATAGGCCCTGGACTCAGTCTTAGTACCTCCCAAAACAAACAAACAAACAAAAAACCAGCCAAGGAAAATGTTGTGTATTAGTTGCTGCTGCCTGGAGGAAGAAATAAAAGTCTAGGCAAGCAGCCGACAAATGGAAAAGCCTAGGGAAGAGGAGTCGAGGAAAGTAGACACTGGGGAACCCAGGCTTTCACTAACTCTTCCATGTTCCAGGAAATCTAGGCTACATATATGATCAGGAAACACTTTAGAAGACCTATAAGCATATAAGCAGAAAGTGAGAGCTGAGGCAGAGATATGACTACTTGGCTGTGTTGAAGAAGTGCAGTCAGCAGCATATTGGAAAGATTTGGAATCGTTTTGTTTTGTATTCCAGGTATTAAATTGCCAAGTCAGAATCTGGTTGTGGTAACACACACCTCTGATCCAGAACTCAGGAGACAGAGGCAGGAAGATCAGGAATTCATGGCCAGCCCTGGCCACACAAAACAAAATCTGCCAAGACTCACCACTAAGCTGAAGCTGATTGAACAGACTTGAGTGACCACACATGACATGACAAAACCACCAAAGCTTTCTGATTCCCATACCCCTAACTACTGCCTAGTCTATGTGTGACTATTAATTGCTGACTCTAGTAGGATGATGGAAATGCATGGCTGGAGTTGGCTTCACAGATACACTCTTGTTCCGTGAGTTCCATTGGAAAGCTTGATAGACTTTATAATTTGAATTTTAGTTAAAAATCATTGAAAAGCCAGGTGTGGTGGTGCATAACCTTAATCTCACCACTCAGGAGGCAGAGGCAGAGGTAGGCAGATCTCTATGAGTTCAGGGCCAGCCTGGTCTACATAGTGAGTTCCAGGCCAGCTGGAGCTACAGAGATACCCTGTCCCAAAAAGACACCCCCCCTCAAAAAAAGACCAAAGTGATTGAGAAGAGAGAAGAAATTAAATATACATTTGTTGTGGTTTACTTATTTTCTCATCAGTAGTCTTTCCTTTGTCATAAACTAAAATTGAATTTTATTTTTCAAGGTCCTAAACATGCAACTTTCGGATGGAGGACAAGGAGATGTCCCTGTTGATGAAAACAAACTCCACGGTAAACCTGATAAAACCTTGCGCTTTTCCCTCTGCAGTGATAATCTGGAAGGCATATCTGAAGGTGAAGGGTTACTTCATTGAGAGAGTGTGTGATTCAAGTAATATTTTGTTTTGTGTTCTTTAAAGGAGCCTTATAAATAAGCCTTCTGTGTCTCTAAGGAGAGTAATGAAATTTTCCTCTAATGAGCATTAACAGTTGGTTGTAAGAATGTTTCCTGAATAAAATTAAGATTGCAAGAGGCCGTTGGTCATATACAATGAAGACAATTTAAATCTTTATTCAGCGTTAAACAGAATAACAGTAGGTTTTCTCAGTATTAATGTCTGCGAAAGCTTATAGAGCTCCTTTAGAAGGATGTAATGCATGTACAAATGGGGAGAGATGGACTTCCTAGTATTTCAGGATGTTGTGCATAGTCCTACTGTTTTGTGTTCCTTTATCCACACACACATGCCTTTATGAATCATACCCCTGAGTAAAAGGCAGTTGAAGGCTGAAAGAATTGAGGGCTCAGTTGGTAGAATGCTTACCTGATGTCCATGGGTTTAATTCTCAGTAGTGTGGGGCTGGGGCAGGGGGAGAAACTGTAAGCTGGATTCTGAAGTAAAAGTGTGTCATTCCCTATATTACAATGTTTTGTTTTATGAATACAGTTCAAAAGGATTATTAGAAAATATAAATATTACTTTTTTCTCTAAACTTTCAGAAAATCACTTCAATAATATATGTTTAATCTAGAAAATATAGAAAAGAAATAAAATCTGGGGGCTGGAGAGATGGTTCAGTGGTTAAGAACACTGGTTGTTCTTGCAGAAGACCCACGTTTGAATCCCAGCACCCACATGGCAGCTAACAACTGTCTGTAACTCCAGTTCCAGGGCATCCGACAGCCTCTTCTGACCTCCGCGGGAATTGCACGACCCGGGTGCACTTACCTACATGCAGGCAATACACACATACACATAAAATAAAGATAATAAAATAAAAAAAAAGAAAATCTGTAATTTTGCATTGCTTTGTGGTTAATATTTTGTTGTATTTGTAGTAAAATTAAGTTTGTGATGCTTTAGAACCTTTGTAGTTTAATAACATGCCATTAATGTTTGCCTTTGTAATTTGCATTCTTAAATAACATGATTTTAAATGGACTTTCCCTTTAACTTCAAGTAAGCCTGTCAATTTATTTCAGCATTCTTTTGTGAGTAGATAGGTGGATTACTTCTGCTTTTTAAATACTGCAATAAATTCTACAACAAGTAACCTTAGGTTAATTCTTTTATTAACCTTGTTAGTAATTTATTAGTTCTTTTTTTGGAAAAATATTTTACTTTATGTGTATGCGTGTATTGTCTACATGTAGGTAAGTGCACCCATGTCGTGCAGTGCCCACGGAGGTCAGAAGAGGCTGTCAGATCCCCTGGAACTGGAGTTACAGACAGTTGTTAGCTGCCATGTGGGTGCTGGGATTCGAACGTGAGTCTTCTGCAAGAACAACCAGTGTTCTTAACTGCTGAGCCATCTCTCCAGCCCCAATAATTTATTAGTTCTTTAAAATAAGTTTCTAGATGCAAAACTGTGGGCCCAAACAGCATCTATATTTTAAAAGAAATAAGTTCAATATTAAAAACATTTTAAGCCAGATATGGCAGCACACATTTGCAATCCCAGGGCTCAGAAGGCTGAGACAGAAGGATTGAAGGTTTAAGACTAGCCTGGGTTTCAAACTGAGACCTTGTTTCAAAACAAATTAGAGTCGGGCGTGGTGGCACACTCCTTTAATCCCAGCCTTCGGGATGCAGAGGCAGGCGGATCTCTGTGAGTTCAAGGCCAGCCTGGTCTATGTTGTGAGTTCCAGGACAGCAGGGCCTACAGAGAGACCCTGTCTCAAAAAGACTAAAAAAAAAATTTAGAACAAAAGCGAATCAGTTTTGGTCTTTTCAAAGCATGAGATACTGCAGGATGGCTTTCAGTGTTTAAAAAAGATTGCTCACAGGGGAAACCTCTCTCTAGGTCCTTCCAATCGCTCCAACTCAGTGTCTTCTCTGGACCTGGAAGGAGAGTCTGTATCTGAACTTGGGGCAGGACCTTCTGGAAGTAATGGAGTTGAAGCTCTACAGCTGTTAGAACATGAACAAGGTAAAGTGATGGTGGATACCTTTGTACTTATATTTGCAAGAGAGGTAATATGTTTGCATGTAAGTTGGCTATGTTCGGGACAAAGTTGCATTTATCCATACTTCCTTCAGTTCCTTTTTCTTTTTTAAAAATATTTTATTACTTTTATGTGTACAAGTGTATTGCCTGCATGTACGTAAATGTACCCATATTGTGCAATGCCCACAGGAGTCAGAAGAGGGTGCTGGATTCTGTGGAACTGGAGTTATAGATAGTTGATAGCCCCAGGATCTTTGCAAGAGCAGTCATTGCTCTGAACAGCTGGCTGAGTGATCTCTCCAGCACCCCTCCCTTTTTTTTTGGGGGGGGGGCGTCTTTTTGAGACAGGATCTTCCTGTAGCCACAACTAGCCTAGCCTAGAACTCACTATGTAGACCAGGCTTGCCCGGCTCTCACAGAGATCCACCTGCCTTTGCCTCCCGGCTTTCTTCCTTCAGTTCTTAAAAATGTATTTAGTGCTGGGAGTGGTGGCACACGCCTGTAGTCCCAGCGAGGCAGAGGCAGGTGGATCTCTGTGAGTTCAAGGCAAGCCTGGTCTACGTAGTAAGTTCCAGGACAGCTGGGGCTACAGGGAGACCCTGTCTCAAAAAGACCAAAAAAAAAAAAAATGTATTTAGTACTGGCATGTTGGCACACACCTTTGATTCCAGCACTCAGGAGGCAGAGGCAGGCAAATCGGTGAGATTGAGGCCATTGTGGTCTGTGTAGTGAGTTCCAGGCCACCTGGTGCTACAAGGAGACTGTGACCTCAAAACCTAAAACCAACAGCAGCAAAATGTGTTTAGTTGAGACTGGAGAGATGACTCAGCGGTTGAGAGCATTAACTACTCTTTCTAGAGAACCCAGGTTTGGTTCCCAGCACTCACATGGCAGCTAACACCCATCCTTAACTGCAGTTCCAGGGGATCTAATTCTCTCTTCTGGCCTGTCATACACTGACATGCTGTGAAAACACTCATTCTCATAAATGAATTAATGAATGAATAAATGAAAAATTTAAAAATGTGTTTAGTTTGTAATTGACTTTTTCAGGCTTAAGTTACATGCAATAATATGAATCACTTTAAATTCTGTAATATTTGCTGTCCTTAATTCTGTAGTATTTATGGGATACAGTGATAACTCTTCAGGGCTTAAGGAACTTAGACTAGTAAAATGATGGTACGCAAATAGTTAAAAGTATTTTGGCAGTGTTAAGTGATCCATATATTTGGAAGTATAAAGAGAAAAGCTTATTAGAAGAAAATGTTATCCTGAAAGTGTAGCATTGCATTGGCAGAGGTCAGAGGTAGGTCACCGCTAAAGTGAGGGACCAGCATAAGCAAGTAAAAGTCAGGAAATCATAGTGCTTACTCGGATATTGTGTTCAAAAATAAGTGGGAGCACAGCCCAGTACTTAAGAGGTCTGGAGGCAGGAGAATCAGGAGTTCAAAGCCATCATTATAGCCTACATACTGAGTTTGAGGCCAGCCTGAGTTACAGAGACCCTGCTTGTCTTCTGACCTCCACATGTGCCCTATGGCTTGAGTATGTGTGTGCACTCACACAGACACACAGATACGTGAACGTGCAGATGCACACACACGTGCACACCAAATAAATCAATGTTTAAAAAAAATCTAAAGCTGGGTACAGTGGCTTCAAAATTTTTTAAGAATTAATTGGAAAGAAATAGGGTGAAAAAATAGCCAGCCATGGTGGTTTTAGTCTTTAATCCCAGTCCTCAAGAGGCAGAGGCAGACAGATCTCTGTGAGATTGAGGCCATCCTAGTCTACATAGTGAATTCCAGGTGGGCTTGGACTAGGGGAACCCTGTCAAGAAAAAAAAAGAAAAAAAAAAGAAAAAAAAAACCCAAAATAGACAAAAACGTGAGTGGATCACTAGGGCTAGCCCTAGTAGTAAACTAGGACTGCTGAAAACTTTAGGTTAAATAAGAATAAGTGGTAAAGGACAATATCTTCCTGTGCTTTAGGAAGATTACTTTGAAAATGTTTTCATTTTGTTTTTTTTTTGTGTATGTGCATATTTGTGTGTGTGAGCATCTGGGGTGGTGCATGTGTGTTGGAGTTGTGCATATTTGTGTGTGTGAGCATCTGGGGTGGTGCATGTGTGTTAGAGAGCATGTGTAGATGCCAGAGGTCAACATCAGGCATCTTCCTCTTTTGCTTTCCATCTTATTTATTTTAAAATTCTTTTTAAAAAATTATTTTTATTTCTATGTATATGAGTGTATTACCTCCATGTATGTAAGTGTACCTGTGTTGTGCAGTGCCCATGGGGGTCAGAATACTGGAGTTACCGACAGTTGTTAGCTGCCATATCAGTACTGGAATTGATCCTGGGTCCTCTGTAAGAGCAGCCAGTACTGTTAACTGTTTAGCTATCTCTCCAGCACCTAGTTTAAAATTCTTTTATATTACATTTAATTAATTAATTAATTAATTAATTAGAATATGTGGGTTTCACTATGTAGCCCTGTCTAGTCTGGAACTTGCTGTATAGAGTAGGATAGCCTTGAACTCACAGAAATCCACCTGCCTTTGCCTCCTGAGTGCTGAGATTAAAGGCTTATGTACAATACCCACCTTAAAAAATTTCTTTTAGGGGCTGGAGAGATGGCTCAGTGGTTAAGAGCACTGACTGCTCTTATAGAGGACCTGGGTTCGATTCCCAGCACCCACATGGTGGCTAACAACCGTCTGTAACTCCAGTTCCAGGGGAATCTGATGCATTCTTCTGACCTCTGTGGGCATTGCACTATATTGGGTGCACTTACACACATGCAGACATAACACTCATACACATAAAAATTAATAAATAAAATATTTTAAAAAATCTTTTAAACATTTATTTATTTATTGATTGATTGATTGATTGTGTGTATCTGTGTGCACTCAGGCCATGGTGCATATGTGGAGGTCTGAAGACAACTTGCAGGAGTTGGTTTTGCCTTTCCACTAGTGATCAAACTTAGATCAGGCTTGGAGGCAAGTGTCTTTACCTGCTGAGCCATCTTGTAAACCTCAACTAGAGGTTTTTATTTATTTTAAAATTTATTTATTTTATTTTCTGTATGTGTATTCCCTCTCTACAGATTTTTAAATTTTATTTATTTTTGATTTATATTTTATGTGTATGAGTGTTTTGCCTGCATGTATGTAAGTTCACCTGTGTCAGATCCCCTGGAACTGGAGTTACACTTGATTGTTAGCCACTGTGTGGGTGCTGGGAGCTGAACCTAGGTCCTTTGGAAGAGCAGCCAATGCTCTTAATTGCTGAGCCATCCCCCCCGCCCCTGCCCCTACAGTTTTGTGGGGTTTTTTTTTTGGTCTCCCTGTAGCCCCAGCTAGCTGTCCTGGAACTCACTATGTAGTCCAGGCTGGCCTTGAACTCACAGAGATCCATCTGCCTCTGCTTCTGCCTCCCGAGTGCTAGGATTAAAGGCCTGCACCACCACACCTGGCTTCTGCTACAGATTTTTAAATCAGCAAATCAAGAAAAGTTTTCAGGGTGCTGGGAAGATTGCTCATTTAGTATTGTTCTTGCTATGTAAGCATGAGGACATGAGTTCAGTCCCTAGCACCCACATGAAAAACATGCATCTAATTGGGTGTGGTGGTACACACTTGCAGAGGTAGAGGCAGGTGGATCTTTGTCTACATAGTGAATCCAGCTGGGCAGCTGGGCTATAGAGAGACTCTCCAAAAAACAAAACAAAACAAAAACCTCACAAAACAACAACAAAACATCTATAGTCCTAGCACAGGGTTGGAGTGAGGAGCTGGGAAGAGTAATAGGATGGAAGGGCATGAGGGCAGAGTCAGGCAGATTCCAGGAGCTCATTGACTTTTTGCCTATGCACATACTTACACACGATGTACACACAACACAACAAAATCTTCTAGTTTAGGGCCGATATCCTTAACTATGTAGCTTTTTTTAAAAAAATACCATTTTTCAAGTCTTCCTTTTAAGAAGTGCTAGTTCAGTCCTGTTTTTGGGAAAAGAATGTTGCCATTGGAGTTTGTGTGGCTTGAATAAAAAAATATTCCTATATTTTATTGAATCATTTTATCAGTGTATCAATTAATATTAAATTTACTCTATATACAGAGAAACCTAAAATTATATTAACTTACAACAAAAGTTGAATGAAAAGTTATGTCTTTGTCAAGCCGCCTGGCTGATTCCAGTGTAGAAGTTGACAGTCTTTATGTGTTAAATGCTACATTAAAAAGTGCATTGAGCCGGGCATGGTGGTGCGCACCTTTAATCCCAGCACTTGGGAGGCAGAGGCAGGCGGATCTCTGTGAGTTCAAGGCCAGCCTGGTCTACATAGTGAGGTTCAGGACAGCTGAGGCTACAGGGAGACCCTGTCTTAAAAAGACCCAAAAAAAAAAAAGTGCTTTGAGAGCTGGGTGTGGTAATCCTTAGAGAGGCTGAAGTTCATGACCATTTTGAGGCTTTGCTCCCCACCCCACAAAATACCCCCCAAAACCTAAATATGTAAAAAAACAAAAAAGGAATTGTGAGGCCCTAGACTAAATTTCCAGCACCAAAGAAAACAAAACAAAAAAGTGAGTTGTGGGGCTGGGCAGATGACTCAGTGGGTAAGAGTGCTTCTGTTCAAACTTGAGGACCTGAATTTTACCCATGTAAAACCTGGGCATGGCCACCTGTGCCTGTAACCTCAGTGTTGGGCCACAGAGACAGGAGGATCCCAGTCAGCCTAACCAGAATGTCAAGCTTTTGGTTCAGTGAAACAAGGTGAAAAGCACTAGAGGAGGATGTCTGATGTTTTCCTCTGGCCTCCATATGCATGCACATGACTGTGTACCCCCTCCAAAGAAAGCCCCCCCCATACACACAGTGAGTTGTAGAAAATTAAATTAGAATTCAGACTAGAGTTATGTGTTGAGTGAAATAGCTTAAGTATGGTTTTATCACCTAATTATTAACACAATAATGGGGCGTGATAAACTACTCCAAAACATTTGTTTTTGCCCTCATGTTGTAATTGGATTGGGCTCACTTCTGTATCTCCAATCACTAGTGGTTTGGTGGGCATCTCTGCTAATCTAAAGTAGGGGTGAATTGGACATTTGAACAGGCTGGTCTAGATAGGTTTAGGATGGAACTACATGCTTATTAATGATATATAACTTGGAATTCAAAGACAAAATTCTTTCAGGTTGATTAAAAAGTTTTAGCTGTGTCACCATTTTTAAAGTGCTTAATTTTGTTTTTGATAGCTACAACACAAGATAATCTTGATGATAAGCTGAGGAAGTTTGAAATTCGTGACATGATGGGACTCACAGATGATAGAGATATATCAGAAACAGTGAGTGAGACCTGGAGCACAGATGTCCTGGGCAGTGACTTTGACCCAAACATTGATGAGGATCGTCTACAAGAGATTGCAGGTAACTGGCATTCAGTGTCTCTGGGACAGAGCTCTTTAGTTGTTCATATCTATCTGCTCTTCATGGAAGAGGTATTAGTGCTCTAACAGATGTGCCTGAGTACTGCCTAAGAAACTTCGATATCTGTATGCAACAAGATGTTTGAGTACTTATAACCTAAATATAGTTCACACTCTCCCTTTTGCATTTAAACTCCACTCTCTACCTTCTTTAAAAAGGAGAAAAACAGAGCCAGTGAGATAACTGGGCAGGTAAAGGCTCTTGCTGCCAGGTCTCATGACCTGAGTTTGATCCCTGGGACCCATATGGAGAAGGAAAACTATCTCCCACAAATTGTCCTCTGACCTCCATGTACACTGTGGCTTGTATATGCAGACACACACAATAAATATTTTTTTAAAAAAGAGAGAAAAGAAAGAAAAAACAATCTTCTGAACTAGTTTCTTGTCAAGTCTTGTTTTCAGTTCTTAGTTCGTTTTTAGCATAGTATCTTCTTAGATTAAACACCTCACCTTAAGATGAAAGTTCTTACAAATTGTAGCCATAAAGTACAAAATAAATGGATACTGATATTCTCCAAAATGCAGGCTGGAGATGTAGTTCGTTGGTAGAGCACTTGTGTAGCATGTGTGATGGTCTTGATTCCACCCTCAAACACCACTAAAAAACACAGAAAACAATAAATTGAATTTATCTTTGGAAGAATTCTGTTTTAGAGTATAGCCAGTTTTTCCTTTTTCTTTTTGCATTGTCAGGGTTAATTGAACTATAACATTAAAATCCATTCTATTTAGAATACTGTTTCATGAGTTCCAAAAGCTTGTACATCAGCCTTATAACCACCATCTTCATTTTCTTTTTAAAATCACGGAAAATGTCATAGACAACAGAGACTGGTAGGAGCTTACTGTACCTGTCACTGAGTTTCAGCAGCAAGACAAACATGGCCACTTTTGTTTCCTCTGTTCCCTTTCCCTTTGTTCTCCTTCCTCATCATGTTTAGGCAGGTTTCAGACATTCTTTTGTTTGCTATTCTTTTAATAAAAGGTACTTTTCACTGTAACTTTTAAAACCTTTACATGTCTTAAAGTAGAATTATTCTTTTATTAGACTGAAGCAAAAGTAGCACAGCATTTGTTATATTGAATTTTTTTAAAAAGATGTATTTGCATGTATGTAAGTGCACCTGTGTCCTGCAGTGCCCATGGAAGTCAGTAGAAGGTGTCGGACCCACTGGAACTGGAGTTATGGACAGTTGTTAGCTGCCATGTGGGTGCTGAGAACTGAACCTGGGTCTTCAGAAAGAGTGGCCAGGGCTCTAAACTACAGACCCATCTCTCTAGCCCCTCATTCTGAGTATTTTTAACACAGAGTTACAATGTTTAGTTCCTTCCATTTGAATTTTTAAGTTTTTTGGTTTTTTAAAAAATTTTATTTATTATTTTTATTCCATGCGAATGAGTGTATTGCCTGCATGCATGTGAGTGCACCCGCATTGTATAATGCTGTGGAGGTCAGAAGAGGGCCTTGGATTCCCCTGGAACTGGAGTTAAGGAGGGTTCACAGCCGCCATCTGGGTGTTGGGAATCGAACCCAGGTCCTCTGCACAAGCAGTCGGTGCTCCCAACCGCTGAGCCATCTCTCCAGCCCCTGAATTTTTTTTTTTTCTCTTTTTGAGACAGGGTCTCCCTGTAGCCCCAGCTGTCCTGGAACTCACTATGTAGACCAGGCTGGCCTGGAACTCACAGAGATCCATCTGCTTCTGCTGGGATTAAAGGCATGCGCCACCACACCTGGCAAATTTTTATTTTATGCATACATTTCACAATTATCTTTGTTCCAAATGCCAACGTAGTATTGTTGACAGCAAGCTGTATTTGCAGTTGAGTGAGTGCTATAAGAGATGTATAGTTTCCTGCAAATATATTCTATTGCTTCACCTATGTACCTGATATGGCAAAAAAAAAAAAAACGTTTGGCGGGCTGGAGAGATGGCTCAGCGGTTAAGAACACTGATTGTTCTTGCAGAAGACCTGGGATCAAATCCCAGCACCCACATGGTAGCCAACAACTGTCCATAACTCCAGTCCCAGGGGATCCCAACAGCCTCTTCTGACCCGCAGGCATTGCATGACACGAGTGCACTTACCTACATGCAGGCAATACACGAATACACATTAAATTTAAAAAAAAAATAATAAATAAATAAAATTTTTTAAAAAAGAAAATGTTTGGCTAGTATTAACTATCTGTGGTTAAATTCTCTGAGCTTTTGTAATTCCTCAAGGACTATAAATTTTACAAAGATAAAGATACCAAGGACACAGATAAAATTTGCTGAAAAACCAAGGTGAAAGTAGTTGAAATTAACCTAAAGATTTGTTTTCTCTGTTGAGGGTCAAAGGTAAGCAGGAGGAATCTGATGGAAGGAGGTTTTGCCATTGTGAATAAGTGGGAGCCTTTCATTTTTAGTGGTGTGTTTAAATGAAATAATTCCTACCCTGGCTACTTTGTTATGGGTAAAGGGTTTGTCATTTTAGTGTGTGGCCTTTCTGCACTCTCACCGCTTTCCCCATCAGATCTTTTTAACACTTTGCTTCTCACCCATTACATAGGTGCAGCAGCAGAAAACATGTTAGGCAGTTTGCTCTGCCTCCCAGGTTCAGGGTCAGTGCTTCTGGACCCCTGTACTGGTTCTACCATATCAGAGACAACAAGTGAAGCTTGGAGCGTAGAGGTATTGCCAAGTGACTCAGGTTAGTATGCTCTTATTGTTTGCCTTTTTCTTAGCACAGAACTTTTTTTTTTTTTTTTTTTTTTTGGTCTTTTTGAGACAGGGTCTCCCTGTAGCCCCAGCTGTCCTGGAACTCACCGTATAGACCAGGTTGGCCTTGAACTCACAGAGATCCGCCTGCCTCGACCTCCTGAGTGCTGGGATTAAAAGCGTGCACCACCACGCCCGACATTTTTTTTTTTTTTTTTTTTTGTCTTTTATGAGACAGGGTCTCCTTGTAGCCCCAGTTGTCCTAGAACTTACCATGTAGACCAGGCTGGCCTCAAACTTAGAAAGATCTGCCTGCCTCTGCCTCCTAAGTGCTGGGATTAAAGGCATGTGCCACCACACCTGGCATGCACAGAACTTTACTTTTAATGTAAGATATCCTAATTTCTATATTAGATATATTTTGCCAAGTAATATAGTTTCATTTGTTGTTTTTTGAGACAGTCTATCTGTGTAGCCCAGGCTGGCTTTAAACTCAAGATCCTCCTACCTCAGCCTCCCAACTGCTAGACCATAAGATTTTACTGCAATACCCAACTCAGATATACATGAGACAAGTATGAGACAATCATATTGTTAAAATTTTGAACTGGGAAATTAGACCATATATTTCCATCACGAAAAAATTTATTGTTGGATAGCATTAACACTGCAGTTGCTTTCTGACTCTATGTTAAATTATATTGAAGCAGTTATCTATAACTCATCAGTGTCTTGTGTGGGTCATGGTTCAGTATTTTTCTACCAGTTCATTCCAAGCTCAGACCCCGTACTTTTGATTCCTTGGCTGCATACTTAAATTTATCACTGGTGGCTGGTGAGCTGGGTTAGCAGGTAGTGGTACGTGCAGTCAAGCCTGATCCCTGGAAAGAGAGAACTGACTTCCAGAAGCTCTCTTCTGAACTCCACACATGTGCTGTGGCATGCACACTCAGATGTATACATGCATACCCAAAATTAAATAAGTGTAATTTAGCCTTGGGAGTAATTTTTCCCTTTTAAAAGATGCTTTAAATTTGTTTATTTTTATTTTATATCTGAGAATTTTGCCTACATATATTTACGCTACATGCATTTCTGGTGCCCACGGAGGTCAGAAGAGGGCATTGGATCTCTGGAACTGAAATTAAGGATGGTTGTCATCAACTGTTTGGATACTGGGAACTGAACCTGGATCCTCTGCAAGAGAAGCAAAAACTCTGAACTGAGCCAGTCTCTAGTCCCTTAAAAGATGTTTACTATGATGGTAAATGCCGTAATCTCAGTTTGGACTACATAATAAAACCCTGTCTCAAAAAACAAAACAAAACAAAACAAAAACCTAAAAAAACAGTGGATAAATCAGTAAGTATAGTAAAATAAATTCATTTTTAAAAGCTGGTTACTATGGGCAGGGGAGGACCTAAACAAAAAACTGTTTACTGGCCGGGCGTGGTGGTGCACACCTTTAGTCCCAGCACCTCCCAGGCAGAGACAGGTGGATCTCTGTGAGTTCAAAGCCAGCCTGGTCTACATAGTGAGTTCCAGGCCAGCTGGGGCTACAGGGAGACCCTGTCTCAAAAAGACACACACACACACACACACACACACACACACACACTCACACTCACACTCACACTCACTCTATTGTTTACTGCTTAATTTATTTTCTCTGTTTTTAAATTTTTTATTTTTTTTTTATGAAGCCAAGTTGGAGTTTATTAAAAAGAAAGTTTAAGGCCTTGGGATGTAGCTGTTGTTGGAGGGCTTGTCTCGTATATATCAGGCCCTGGGTTCCATCCCCACCACCTCATAACCTGGCATGGTAGCACACAGCTACAAATCCCAACCCTGAGGAGATGGAGGCAGGAGGATCAATCAGTTCAACGTCATCCTCAGCTATCTAGTGAATTGAGGCCAACCTTTACTACATGAAAACTTATTTAAAAAACCAAAACATACATATATATAGTTTTTTGGCCTTTTTGAGACAGGGTCTCCCTGTAGCCCCAGCTGTCCTGGAACTCATGATGTAGATGGACCAAGCTGGCCTTGAACTTAAGAGATCCGCCTGCCTCTGTCTCCCAGGTGCTGGGATTAAAGGCATGCGCCACCACGCCCGGCCATAAAATCATCTTTATATCCCCTTCCCCCTTCCCCTTTGGTACCCTTCCATAGCTCCCCCACTGGAATTCGTACATTCTGTCATTTATATTAAGGCCTATCATGTAAAGTTAGTGTCCTTAGGTGTCCCTCAGTGCAAACTCAACCACTGGGGTTTAGTCAGCCTATCTCTCTCCCTTCAAGAAAATCCAGCTCTTTCTCACTAAGTAGTAATGGCCTATAACTTGTATCTAGTTCAGGCTAACCTTGAACTTGCAGCAGTCTTCTTCCTCTGCCTTCTGAGTGCTAGGATTACAAATATGTGCCATTACACCAACCTGCTTAATATATTTCTGAAGACACTGATGCCAAGACAGAGGTTATTTATTAATTATTATTATTTTAAAATATTTTATTATTTTTATGTCTATGAGTATATTGCCTGCATGTATATGAGTGTACCCGTGTCATGCAATGCCGCGGAGGTCAGAAGAGGGCTTCGGATTGTTAGGGTTCCAAACAGCAGCAGCTTCCCCCCTCCCCAACAGGGACCTACAGACTTTGGAGCCCAAAAAAGGGAACTTAGCTGATAAGCACCTTGACCTTTGAAGTCAAGAGAAACAAACTCTGCTGAGAAGCAGCCTGCCTTTCCTCTGACCTCCAAAGATAAGATAAGCAGATTCTACCTGATAACCAGAGATTTTAAAAGCTGTTTTTCTCTTATCTTAAGAGGGAAAAAGTAAACACTTCCAGACCCTAATCCTACCTGCTTTTCCTGCTTCCCCCTCCCTGATTTCTCCCCCAAACATCCCCCCCTTCCACACCCTAAAGCCCCCATATATAAAGTCCCAGCTCACAACCCGTGGGCTGACATCTTTCTCTTCCCCTAGGGAAAGGTGCCCGGTGCGAAATAAAGCTGTATCCCGCCTTCCTCCATCCATCCACGCTTGCCCTCTCCCAACATTTTTACCTATCACGGATTCCCCTGGAACTGGAGTTAAGGACAGTTCGTAGCCGCCATGTGGGAGCTGGGAATCAAACCCAGATCCTCTGCAATAGCAGTCAGTGCTCTTAATGGCTGAGCCATCTCTCCAGCCCCTTAATTATAATTTTAAAATATATATATATTTTTTTAATTTTTAAATTACATGTTTGTGTGTGTGTGTGTGTGTGTGTGTGTCTGTCTGTCTGTCTGTCTGTCTGTCTGTCTGTCTGGGTTTGTTCATGAGAGTGCAGTGCTGGAGTTACAGGCTGCTGTGAGCTGCCTGACATGAGTGCTGGGAATCAAACTCAGGTCGTCTGGAAGAGCAGCATGTGCTCTTAACTGTGGAATCATCTCTCCAGGCCCAAGACAGAGTTGATTTAATGTGAAACTATTCTATGCCATCTCACTCAGTTTACCTGTTAACCAACAGCATGCTTTATTAGTGGTCTAGAAACAAGTGGTCTAGAAACAAGTGTCATCTGTATACAGCCTGGCTTATGTAGACCAGGCTGGCCTTGAACTCACAGGGATCCACCTGCCTCTGCCTCCTGAGTGCTGGAATTAAAGGTGTTGGCTACCACATTCAGCAACTTTCTTTTTTTATTTTTAATTAAACAATTTTTTTAATGTGTATGAGTGTTTTGCCTGCTCATTTATAGGTGCACCCATATAGTACAATGCCCATGGAGGCCAGAAGAGGGCGTCAGATGCCCCTAGAATTGGAGATGCCCCTAGAATTGGAGATGTGCTATGTGAGTGCTGGGAACTGAGCCTAGGTCCTCTACAAAGTAGTCAGTGTTCTTAACTGCTGAGCCATCACTCCAGCCCTAACCTTCACTTCTTTCACACTTGATCTAACTAGCTTTGCTAAGTAGCCTAGACTTCTAAATCTGTTATATTGATTTCATTTACACCCTGATAGCTTTGTGTGTCTAGGTCTTAACAGTGATATTATGCAGCTGGTTGTGGTGGTGCATGCCTTTAATCCCAGCACTCAGGAGGCAGAGGCAGGTGGATCTCTGAGTTCAAGGCCAGCTTGCTCTACAGAGTGAATTCCAGGGCAGGTGGGGCTACAGAGAGATCCTGTCTCAAAAAGACTAAAAAAATAAAAAAATAATTTAGAAAAAGTGAAATGATGCATGCTCACTGAATCACTATGTGACAACTCTTCTGTTTAGAGGCTCCGGACTTAAAGCAGGAAGAGCGCCTCCAAGAGCTGGAGAGCTGTTCTGGCCTGGGCAGCACATCTGATGATACAGATGTCAGGGAGGTCAGTTCCCGCCCCAGCACACCAGGCCTCAGTGTTGTGTCCGGTATGTGTGTCTTGTTTTAAGGACTAGGAATTTGAAGGCATTTCCCTTCTCCCCATTTATAAAGAGATAATAGGGGTTTTTGTTGTTTATGGTGCAGTGCTGGCTATTGAACCCAGGCCATTGGGCATATGAGGCAAGTACTGTATCACTGAGCTACACCCCCAACCTCAGGAGATGTATTTTTATTTAAGCTGGGTAGTTTCCAAGGAATAAAATTATTTTTATGTCTCTGTAATCTTTGCAAACTTAATGTGTGGCTTTTTAAGCCTGTTGAAATAATCGGCAGTCCCTCTATCAAGCTATTCTTGATAGTTTCTGCTTTTATATTTAGGTATCTCTTGATAATTTTGATGATGTTGTATAAAGCAAGATAACCATATTTGAGCAATAATACAATAAAAGATACATGTAGCAGCTCACATGCATAGAACTGGGAATGTAAATTTGAGGAAGTCAGAATTTCTCCAAAGTTGATGCTTTTTGTGTGACTACTTTATTCTTCTTGCTGCTTATCTTTGCTCTGTTTTCAAGGTATAAGTGCTACATCTGAGGACATTCCCAATAAGATTGAAGACCTGAGATCTGAGTGCAGCTCTGATTTTGGGGGTAAAGATTCTGTAACTAGTCCAGACAGGCGTCATATTGTACTATGAATAACACTCTTAACACCTTTCAGGTGGCACTTGTGACCTTGGTTGTCAACTTGACCCACCTGGGAAGAAGAAACCTCAGATGAGGAATTTCCTCCATCAGATTGGCCTGTGAGCATGTCTGTGGGACATTTTCTTGACTGTTAATTGAGGTAGGAGGGCCCAGCCCACTGAGTGCAGTGTCAGTCCTGGACCGGTGGTCCTGGGTTGTATAAGAAAGCTCACTGAGCATGAGTCAGAGAAAGCAGGCCAGTAAGCAGCATTCTTCCATGGTCTTTGCTTTAGTTTCTTCCTTGAGCTCCTTCCCTGGCTTCCCTCAGTGGTGAACTGGAACCTGTAAGCTAAAAGAAACCTTTCTTCTCAAGATACTTGTGGTCATGGTGTTTATCACAGTAACAGAAAAGTAAACTGGGACAGCATTTATTATTCTCCACATTGAGTGGGTGATTACATGTTTACACTGATAGTTCAACTTGGTGTCTCATTTCTTACATTCTCCATGGTTGTTAGGATGGTGGCTTGTATAAAATGTATGCTTGAACCCGGATTTATTATTATTTTTTACTTATTATTTTTATTTTATGTGTATGTGTGTATTACCTGCATGTAGGTAAATGCAGTTGTGCAATGCCCGCAGAGGTCAGAAGAGGCTGTTGGATCCCCTGGGACTGGAGTTATGTGTGCATATATTGCCTGCATATAGGTAAGTTCACCTGTGTTGTGAAATGCCTGTGGAGGACAGAAGAGACTGTCGGATCCCCTGGAACTGGAGTTATGGAGAGTTGTTAGCTGCCATGTGGGTGCTGGGATTTGGACCTGGGTCTTCTGCAAGATCAGTCAGTGTTCTTATCCACTGAGCCATCTCTCCAGCCCCTTATTTATCATTTTATGTGTATGTGTGTGTTGTCTGCATGTAGGTAAGTGCACGCGTGTTGTACAATGCCTGTGGAGGATAGAAGAGGCTGTTGGATCCCCTGAAACTGGAGTTACGGATAGTTGTTAGCTACCATGTGGGTGCTGGAATTTGAACTTGGGTCTTCTGCAAGAATAACCAGTGTTCTTAACTGCTGAGCCATCTCTCCAGCCCCCAAAAATGCTTTTAAAAACACAAATTAGGGGCTGAAGAGATAGCTTAGGGTTTAAGAGCACTGGCTTCTCTTGCGCAGGATCAAGTTTAATTCCCAGCATCCACATGATGGCTAACAACTCTGCAACTACTGTTCAGGTGATCCAGTGTCCTCTTTTGGCCTCTGTAGGCACTGCATACACACAATGCATTTATATACCTGCAGGCAAAATACTCATACAATTAAAAAAATTATAATTAAAAAAACATGAATTAATTAGGAGAACTACCTAGATCACAATAGTACTTGGAAATTTTATTTCATAGAATTTTGTGTACAAGATAATAAGACATTTAAAATCCTATTCACAGGGAAGGTACAAAGAAAGCTCAGAATGTCAGTGGCGCAATGGCTTCTCAGTGTACCTTTCCTTTTTTTATATATTTCTTTTTCCTTCTTAACCAGAGTTTAGGTTGATAGTTGGGCCAGACAATTCTTTGGGGTGGGGGCTGCCCTATGAATTATAGAATGATTGACAGTTTCCCTCACTTCTATCAGTAGTGCATACCTGCCACCCTTCTAGGGTGTAATGACCAGAAATGTCTTCAGACACTGTTGACTGATTCCCTAAGGAAGCAAACCAGGTGCCAGTTGAGTAGCACTGTTCTAAAGCAGCAGTCTAAAAGAGTGCCTCTGTGCACTCTTTTGGGGAGAGAGGGAATATGAGATCAAAACTGTTTAAATAATAATGATGATGATTGTTCTGTTTCATGTTTTTGACATCTGCACTGGTGGTCACAAGCAGAGGTAAACTTACTGGGAATTTAGCACAAAGCAAGTGCTGCGGACCAGTGTCACTGCATCTTCACTCACAGTTACCTTTCAGCTCTTGAATACAGATCTTTTTAGTATTCTGTGTGAAGAAACAAAGTATTTGTAATGTATTTCTGCTGTTTTCTGAGATGCGGTTAAAAGGAAAAGTGCTGGGATGACTAAGCTATTAGCATAACCAGCAAGGATTTTTGTTTTTCTTGTTTGTTTTGCTACTTTTGTTTCTTGATTGTTTTCTCTCTGTGAACTGTCATTTTCATTTGAATAACTAACAAACTGTAGCTTTCTAGATTTTGGGAGGAGGAGAGATTAACAAAGTGAACCTCTCACTTCAAGGAAAAAATGGACAAAATTGAGTTTTTTACCAAAAATTTGAAAATACTGCCATGAGTTTGACAGCCAATCTTGACAGCTTTCTGTTCCTTAAAGACTTTCCTTTGAGATTGGTGATATTATGTCAGTATGATCCTTTTATCTGTAAGTAGTAGCTCATGACTATAAGCCCAATACTTGGGAGCCCAAGGCAGGAGAATTTCTATGAGTTTGAGGCTAGCCCTAACTACAGAGTGAGACCTTGTCTTTACAAACAAACAAATGTAATATTTGATATTTTGTGATGAAGTATGTCAGTATTGAGATCTTCATAACTCTGATTCTTTTTTTTTTTTTTTTTTTTTTTTTTTTTTTTTTAAAAAAAAAAAAAAAAAAAAGAGGACGATAAATCTTTCACTGTGATATATCAAAATAAGACCAGGCTGGCCTTGAACTCACAGCGATCCACCTGCCTCTGCCTCCCAAGTGCTGGGATTAAAGGTGTGCACCACCACACCCCACTTAACTCTGATTTTTTAAAAATAATAAACAATGTATGATGTTAAAATCATATATAGGTATAAGATCCATTACAGGATATAAGATAGACCAACTAATTATAATGTAATGGAGGCCTAAAAGTTCATTGATTTGGTTTCAAATTCTACATATGTAGGTAGCCCCTATAAAAGGTACTTCACTGTTTGGTAGAGTATCATCATATGATGAGTGCTGACAATTCTCTGAAAAGACTGTTAATATATATATCATCTCAGCCTGGGGTATAGCTTGGTAGTGGAGTACTTGCCTAGTATGTACACAACCCTGGGTTTGATTACCAGTACAGTAAAAAGACAGACAGGAAAAATATCCCTTTTCCAGCTACGTATCTGTGATTTGCTTTATTTCAACAAACAGCACCCTAAACACATTGAGAGCAAAAGCAGATATGAGAATCCAGCTGTGTTAAGCTGTACATTAAAGAAAAAAAAGTTCAAAAAATATTGAACAGTTCCACTCTTCTCATTTTTTATTTTGGAAAATGAACTTCTCATTTAAATGTTTTAAAAAAATTTTTATTTTGCCGGGTGTGGTGGCGCATGTCTTTATCCCAGCAGAGGAAGGCGGATCTCTTGTGTGTTCAAGGCCAGCCTGGTCTACATAGTGAGTTCTAGGCCAGCTGGGGTTACAAGGAGACCCTGTCTCAAAAAGACAAAAAAAAATTTTTTTTTTAATTTTATGTGTATGAGTGCCATGCCTGTATGTATATAAATGCACCTGTCCCCTGCAATGCCCATGGAGGACAGAAAAGGGCATTGGATCCCTGGAACTGGAGTTACAAACTGTTGTTAACCGCCATGTGGGTGCTGGAATGAACCTGGGTCCTCTGCACAAGCAGCCAGTACTCTTTGCGTTAACCATAATAGCATTTGCCCATTAGAGGTTATAAGCATATGGATGTTAGCCCCTTTAAATGTAGCAAAAATCCAAGTATAAAGATTAAAATGTGAAGTAAATTTGAGGTAATAATTTGATGTTTATTAGTTTCATTTATTTCTGGTATGCTTCTCAAGTTCTAATTGAAGAAAAGAAGAAAAAGTGGCTGAGTACCAGAGCCCTCTTCAGTGTGGGCAAGCTCTCTCTGTTTGCATTCTGTCTTGGTCTCATGGGTTGCTTTCTTGTTATAGGTGCCCACCAGCTGACGTCTCCACCCTCTCAGTCAGAGTCTCTGTTGGCCATGTTTGATCCACTGTCTTCACATGAAGGTAAGCTAGTAGAATCAACTGTAGACTCTTGTCATAAGCAGAAGCAAGAAATCAAACCTTTAATGTGTTTGTTGGATTAGTTGTCTTAGCTGTAAAGCTCCTTTTCTGTATTTCAGGGGCCTCTGCTGTGGTAAGGCCAAAGGTCCACTACGCTAGACCCTCCCATCCACCACCAGATCCCCCAATCCTGGAAGGAGCAGTGGGAGGAAATGAGGCCAAGTTGCCCAATTTTGGTTCTCATGTGTTAACGCCAGCTGAAATGGAGGCATTCAAGCAAAGGCACTCTTACCCTGAGAGACTGGTTCGCAGCAGGAGTTCTGATATAGTATCTTCTGTCCGGCGGCCCATGAGTGATCCCAGCTGGAACCGAAGACCAGGGAATGACGAGCGAGAACTCCCTCCAGGTGCAGCCATTGGTGCTACTTCTTTGGTGGCTGCACCTCACTCATCATCTTCATCCCCTAGTAAGGACTCTTCAAGAGGAGAGGTAAGGGACCCAAGCCATGTAGAATTTGCTCATTGTGGTCAGCTCAGTGTTCTGTCTACAGGTTCTCATGATGTCTGAAAACATGGACTGTGTGAACTCAAGATTAAGAATGACTGTAGTCATGATTAAAGATGATCCATCAGTCTAGTATAACCACCACTGTAATCCATAGGAAACCATAGAACTTGGTTTTGTAATAATACTGTAATAATAATTTAGAACTCATAGTATCCTTTTGAGATGGTTAAATGAAGTATATTATTTATTTGAAAGCCATAGTTAGAGAAAGTTGAAAAGACAACACTTACTCAGAGTAAATTGCAGTCCTGATGCTTCTCCTCCCTCTCTGTGTTAAGTTTCCTACTAATAATTACATTTTTCTTTATATTATTCCACACCCATCAATATCCAAAATTGAACACTCACACACCATTGCCCCTGAATTCTCATTCCCAGTCATATTTCTCTAGTTTTCTGTATAACATTATTATTATTATTTTCTTTTTGGTTGATTGGCTTTTTTTTGTTGTTGTCATGTTTTGAGATAGGATCTCACTATATAGCCCTACCTGGCCTGGATCTCACTGTGTAGACTTGGCTTATCTCAAACATGTAAGCTGTCTGCTTCTGCCTTCTGAGTGCTGGGATTATAATCATATGCCATCATGCATAGTTCTTAAGCATTGTTTACAGTAGCAGGACCCTGCTCAGAGCCACATTGCTTTCGTTGTCATGCATTTTTAGCCTTTCCCTCTAGAATGACTTTGCAGTTTTCCCAGCCAGTTCTTTTTTATAATGTCCCCCAGTTTGGGTTTGTTCGATGTTTTCTCATATTAAATTCAGGTTGTTGGTCTTTGGCTGGACTACCACTGAAGCAGTTCTGCTGTCTTCATCATGTCTTGTCAGTCATACACAGTTCCAATTTGCCCACCACATGGTGTTCATTAGGAGCTTTGAATGAAGGTGCTGTCAGCTGTATTTTACCACTGGAAAGTTACTCTTTTTCTGTTCCTTAGTTACAGTCTTCTGGTTTTCTCCTTTAGTCAGTTTGTTACTGTTGCTCGTTGTCCCTGATGTGGCTAGTAATATTTCATTTATTTATTTTTCAATTTTTAAAAATATTTTATTATTTTTATTTTATGTGTATGAGTGTATTGCCTGCATGTATGTAAGTGTACCCGTGTCATGCAATGCCTTGGAGGTCAGAAGAGGGCTTCAGATTCCCTTGGAACTGGAGTTAAGAACGGTTTGTAGCCACCATGTGGGTGCTTGGAATCAAACCTGGGTCCTCTGCAAGAGCAGTCAGTGCTCTTTTTTTTTTTTTTTTGGTTTCTTTGAGACAGGGTCTTCCTGTAGCCCCAGCTGTCCTGGAATTCACTATGTAGACCAGACTGGCCTTGAACTCACAGAGATCCACCTGCCTCTGCCTCCAGAGTGCTGGGACTAAAGGCGTGTGCCACCACGCTCAGCCCTATAATCCATTTTTCATCCCTACCACTTTTTCCTAGCACATAGGCCCTCATCTTTCTGCTTGAGCCTATTCTCCATTCACATGAGTGCCTTTAATACCCTTTAATTGGAATAGAGACTTTTATTTATTTATTTATTTTATTTATTTATTATTTGTATGAGTATATTGCCTGCATGTCTGTAAGTGCACCTGTGTCATGCAGTACCCAAAGAGGTCAGAAGAAGGCATCAGATTCCCTGGAACTGGAATTGCAGATGATTATTAGCCACCATGTCGATGCTGGGAATTGAACCTTGGTCCTCTGTAAGAGCAGCCAGTGTTCTTAACTGTTGAGCCATCTCTTCAGCCCTAGAGACAGTTTAAGAAGGTGAAAGCACTCTGAGAGTGTAACTTTTTTATTTTATGTGTATGAGTGTATTGCCTGCGTGTATGTGAGTGCACCCATGTTGTGCAGTGCCACAGAGGTCAGAAGAAGGCATCAGATTCCCCTGGTACTGGAGTTAAGGACAGTTTATAGCTGCCATGTGGATGCTGGGAATTGAACCTGGGTCCTCTGCAAGAGCAGTCAGTGCTCTTGACTGCTGAGTCATCTCTCCAGCCCCCAACCCCCCCCAAGAATGTATTTTTAATTCTAGATGCATAATGAAAAAAATGGAAATGAAGAGATTTTTTTCTGAGGGTTAGCGATTACTATATAATTGGTGATCAAAGCCTGGCTTTTGAAATCAGCTCTAGGTTTAAGGGTCATCTGTGCCACATGAAGGCATGTAACTCGGGGAAAATAACCTCATTTAGTTTCATATAACTCACCTATAAAAAAATCATAAGAGGGGTTGGAGAGATGGCTCAGTGTTTAATAGCACTGACTGCTCTTGCAGAGGACCCTGGTTCAATTACAAGTACCACATGGTGGCTAACAACTGTCCATAACTCCAGTTCCAGGGAATCTGATGCTGTCTTCTGGCCTCTGCAGGCATTGTACAGCATGGGTATACCTACATACATGCAAGCAAAACACTGACATGCATAAAATAAAAATAAATTTTTGGGTGACGTTTTTGAGACAGGGTCTCCCTATAGCTCCAGCTAGCTTGTAACTCGCTTATGTAGACCAAGTTGGCCTTGAACTCAGAGAGATCCACCTGCCTCAGCCTCCCAAGCACTGGAATTAAAGGTATGCACCACCACACCTGACTGAGTTTTCTGGTTTACCAGCAGTAATAAGATGATGCCTACCTTTAAACAGATTAGTCTGCTGCCTGAAGGGCATGTAGACTTCCACATTCCAGGGGATGCCTGTATGGCAGAAGGAGGAGTTTTTGTGCTGGCAGTAGGGCTTAGTGCAGAGTGCTTGTCTAGCATTTATGAAGCCCTGGGTTCTGTCCCCAGCACTACTCACCTCCCCTGCGCCCCCTCCAAAAAGGTTTGTTTTAAAGCAAATAGATCTGGATTTTAATATTTCACAGACTCACTTCAATCCTTTTCATAGCAATTTATCCTGCTGTTCAACTCCAAATAAAACATCAAATTTTTTCTACAGACTGAAGAGCGCAAAGATAGTGATGATGAGAAATCAGATAGGAACAGACCTTGGTGGAGAAAACGCTTTGTTTCAGCCATGCCTAAAGGTAATTTTATCAAATTTTAGAATGTTGCTCTGTAAGAAACAAAGCCCCAAATCTCCTGGAGAGCAGTCTTGCCGCTCCTCTATGAGGTTTCTTTCTCTAGCTGCTTTCAGAGTGTAGAAATGGTCTTGCTGAGAATACTCTGGCAGAGCTTTAGAAATGTTCTTGTTCTTTGTAGGAAGTGGTAGCAGTTTCATAAATGGAAATCATGCTGGTCACTGTTGTTTAAATATCATTGAAGTTAAACATAGCAGACTTTGGGCATGTAATTGCTATTACTAATTGCAGAAAAAAATGTGTTACTGTTGTTAATTTAATGTTGAATATTCATCTATGTTCCTCGAATGAATTTAAACTTTTTATGTCTATGTGCATTGAAAATGTGCATACCTTACATATTAGCAAGTGTCTATTTTGGAAGGTAGTTGTATAAAATTGTTTGCTTTTTTAGTAAAGAGCCTAACATCGTTTGAGTTGGCAAAAGCTTCTCTTCCTGAAAGAGGAGATCACCTGAAACTGAAGGCCCTCCTCCATAGGCTTTTCCTCAGGCTGTGGCATTCACATCTCCTCAGGCTGAGGAGAGCTGCTTCCATGCCACACTCAAGCCCACTTACTGGGAGGAGTGATGAGGCAGGAACTTTGAATGTGTCCTTTTCGAGGAGAGTTTAAGAGACAATAGTTTTGATTTAGTCCCCATGGATCCTCATTAAATCATTCTTTCTATGGCAGATGACCATGGCAGATTCTGAAAGCTTCTTTAAGAATCTTTGGTGCTATTTTAAGAATGATTATCAGTTGATGCTTGGGATTTCTTAGCTTTAAAATTTTCGACGTCCTTGCACTTAGAAATGTTGGCACACCAGTTAACTTCCAAGTAGTGCAGTATGTTATATGTCACACTACTGACTTTATTTAATTTCCAGCTCCTATACCATTTAGAAAGAAAGAAAAACAAGAAAAAGACAAAGATGATCTGGGTCCTGACAGATTCTCAACACTCACAGGTTTGTAGACCCATGGACTTCCTGGCTCCTTCATTCCCAGAGCACATATTTCATAACACTTTTTCTTGGGTGCCATAAGCGTTGCCTTTTTAGAAGAGTTGTGTCTATGTGTGTACGGTGGGGAGTATGTTCTTCATGGCTCTGTGGTTTCCCAGTAGTGGCCACAGTGAGTCTTGATGTGCTCTCCTACAGACCACCACCACCATCATCATCCTCATTCTCATAACCTGTTTCTAACAATGTCAGGCACCTGATCCTGAGCCTGCCTGGCAGCTTGCCACCTAAGGGGACGAGTCCACCTGCCTGTTGGAGAGTCTGGTGCTGGTTCTAGTGCTGTGCATGTCATTTTTTTGGATCATTGGTTGAATAGTTTTCTCTAACATTGATTGTAGGATACTAAATTATTTTCATCTATAGTTTGCTCTAGTTTATTCAGGACCACAATGAAATGCTGTTTTATCTAACATTTCCTTTTTAATTTTCATGATTAAAGTATTTGTTTAAACAATATCCAAGTGCCAACCATTGTAGTAAAAGTTTAAAACTTCACTAATTTCTTACAGCTTGTACCATTATAACTGCTGTCTGACCCATGGAAAAGCTTGTAGGGATTAGGCTCTTTTCTTACTCAACATTTGCATTTCTGCAGCTGCTTCTTTGGCACATTATGATGAGCACCTAAAAAGCAAAGCATGCAAGCTAGTGTGAACGACCAATCTTGAGTTTGATAGCTGTGTATTGTTTCCTAGATCTGAGAAAATCTAGAAGGAAGTTCATTTCTTACCTTTTTCTTGTCTTGATTTTAAAGTATTCTATCCTTCCATCCTACTAAGTTATAATGAAGCTTTTTAATTTAAAAATGAAGTCGAGTTCAAAAGAACATGGTCTCTCGGCACAGTACACGTAGCATCCCATTTTGATGCATGTTCTAAAGCCTAGTTGTACCAGGGAGCTGGAGAGATGACTCAGCAGTTAAGTGCACTGCCTGCTTGTGCAAGGACCTGGGTTTGGTTCTTAGCACCCATGTGGCAGCTAACAACTATCAGTATCTCCAATTCCAGGGGATCCCTTGTCCTCTTCTTGCCTCCATGGGCATTGAGCAACATGGGTGTACTTACATACAGGCAAAACACTTATACACATAAATAAATCCATGTTAAATTTACCTCCACGTCCTAGCTTTATTTGATACAGCAACTTCCCTGTAATAAAGGGTTCTGAGCAGCAGGAGATACGTGACAAGTCATGGTTTCCTGCTTCGAGAGCAGCCAAGCCTGTCCTATTCAGTCAACAGATACTGACCATCTGACTCATGCAAGGCACTGTGCTAAGTATCATGTGTATTAAATCAAATCACATATGACCACTGTTTGTTGGGACCTTCCAGTGTAGTTGAGAAGAGATAGAAAGATGTTGTCTTTTTGGCAGGGTATCCATGTCTCCTTTCCTATTCCTGATTCCTACTGTCAGAAGTACACCAGTGTATATATACAAGCTGAATTACACTGTGCAATAGCTTTGTATTTAAATTTTTAAATTGGTGACTTTGAAGAAAGGGTAAGTTATTGGGTGTTCTGGCAATGTGTTTTTCATGTGCTGAGACTGCAAGCTGAGTAAAATTTTTCTTTTCATTGGGTATGATTCAAGAAGTTTAGCTTCTCTGTTGCAGAACTTTCTAGTCAGTCTAATCAATTGGAAGTTATCATGAATTTAAGATGTTACCAACTGACATTCTTTATCAGCCTGGCTGTAATCCTGCCACTCTAACAACTATTTTTTTAAAAAAATATTTATTTTTATTTTATGTGTATGAGTGTATTGCCAGCATGTATGTAAGTGCACCTGTGTAATGCAATGCCTGAGGAGGTCAGAAGGAGGCAATGGATGCCCTGGAATTGGAGTTACAGTTGTTAACCACCATGGGAGTGTTTGGGATTTGAACCCAGGTTTTCTGCAAGAACAGCTAGTACTTTTAACTGCTGAACCATCTCTCCAGGCCCAATAACTTTTTTTTTTAATGGTCTATTCCACTCTTTCGGTATTTGTACTTGGTGACTTTTCCATGATTTAATCAGATTATATATGTAACTTTGTATTAATCTTTTACCATGCTATTTTATAAACTGCCAGTTTCTAGTAGACAACAGTTGGCTTTTGAATGATTTTTATTGACTATGAAAAAGTTTGATTCTGCCAGGCGTGGTAGTACACACCTTAATCCCAGTACTTGGGAGGCAGAGGCAGGTGGATCTCTGAGTTTGAGGCCAGCCTGGTCTCCATAGCGAATCCAGGCTAGCTGTGGCTACAGGGAGGATTCCCCTCCCCTCAAAGAAACAAAAATAATTTGATTCTGCTACAGTGTAACTATTCTTTTTCTAGTGAATATTGAAATTGTTTCCAACTGTTTTTATTATAAAATAGTGTTCATACCTTTGTATCTCTAGGTTTTGTTGTTAACAGTACTGGGGATTGAACCCAGGGGCTTACTATGTTAGATAGGACTCTACTGCTAACCATACCCCAGTCCTGCAGAGCAGCTTTTGCTTTCATTATTTTCCTGGGATAAAATATTTAACAATTATGTTAATAGAGGTAATAAGCAATGTTGTAGTTTGAGTGACTGCATTTAGCCAAATTATATTTCTCCCCTTTCACAGTCTTCTGAAAAGCTATAACCAAAAAATACTGCTTCTCTTAAGTAGGATTCTGTAATGATTACATTTTGAAAAAGTTCAAAATTGATTATGAATTTCCTATTATGATGCCAAATACTGTTATAGCAGATATTAAATTACTTTGGAAGTCACATGTGGTGGCCTAGGCCTGTAATCTCAGCACTCACAAAGCTGAGGCAGGATGATTGCCACAAGTTCCAGACCAACATAGGCTACAAAGTAAGACCCTCTCTTCAAAAAGAAAGTTTGTAAATGTCAATCATCTATAAAATTTAAGTTAGTTTACAGAAGCATGAATACCAAATATCTGTGTTACGGAGATAGGAGCCTGTGAGCATGATTCTTTAGTCTTCCCCGCCTTGATTCCCTCTGCTATAAAAACAGGTGGTGTTAGTTCTTCATTATATGGTTGTTTGCTAAGTGAATGTCCACGTTAGGTGCTCACCACAGTTCCCTGGCATGTGGTTAGTGTTTAATAAATGTTAGATGTTGCTCTCATCCATACCTACCTACATACATGCACAGTCCAGTGATTTTGATGTGATTATAGAATTTTTTTATAAATGGAATTCCACCAGAATATAGATGGTTTGGTTAATGTTGGCCTAGCTCTATCTCATGAGTTTGTGTTTCACTGTGGAACTTTATTTTAGCCTAAAGATCCCTTGGTGTGTATCTGGTGCTGGACTTCAAACTCAGGTCCTTGTACATGCTAAGCAAGTGCTGTATCACTGCACTATATCCCTAGCTTGTTTTTTTTCAGATAGGGTCTCACTGTGTAGCTCAGGCTGACCTTGAACTCACTGTCCTGCTTTCACTTCCCAAGTGCTAGAATTATAGACATGTGCCACCATGCCCAGCCAACACATTTTTGATGTTTGATTTGATTGTCAAAGTAACAGTCCTGTCAGTGAACAAAGCTGCATTTGTGATGTGATAAGTTTTTCCTCTGTGCATCCAGGTACCATCCCAGCAACCTAGAAAGCCTAGATTTTCTAGCAGTGCCCGATCATTACATGCACAAAAGTGCTCTATCCTTACAGCTGTACTTTCATGGGGAGATCTAGCGTGATAGACTATGAAGTTCTGTAGCTTTCAAATATGATATAGAGAGATTCACAAAGAATAGAGAAAGGTGTTTTTCAATGTGAAAAATTTGTGTAAGTCTAAGTTTGAATAATTCCTTTTCTTCTTCAGCATGGAGATGTCTGATTTAATTAAGTCAGTATATATAAGTTTGTTGTTGGGGCTGACTTGGTGGTACATGCCTCAAGTCCCAGCACTCGGGAGACTTAGGCAGAAGAAAAGTTGAAGGTAGACCCGAACTACATAATGAGTTCAAGGTCAGCCTGGATTACATAGCAAGACTCTCACTTGCTCTCTCCCCTCAAAAAACAAAAAAGCATTCTTGGAAATTATGTTAACATGAATTGATAATAATAGTAGTTTGGATAAGTGCTTTAGAAACCCTTCTGCACTGAAGAACTTTGAGACAGTCATGCAGAATTCCAGTAATGCTGAGGTGCAGTGACTCTTCCTGGTTTCCTGGTTTGGGAAGGTTCTTTGACCTAGCAGTGGGATGAGCAGGCAGCTGCATGGTGCCTCATAACACTGAGATATGTGCTCTTTTTAAGTTTTACTTCCTAATCAGCCTTTGGGATATTACTGGTGTCATACTAACAGCAGAGTTGGAACAAACCCAGGGAGCTAATTCTCTCTTTCCTTTTTCCTGCAGATGAGCCCAGTCCTAGGCTCAGTGCACAAGCTCAGGTTGCTGAAGATATTCTGGACAAGTACCGGAATGCCATTAAACGGACCAGCCCCAGTGAAGGAGCAATGGCAAACGATGAAAGTGCAGGTGATAATCATGCAGATCTGAATAGTAACATTGTATCATAGTGATGAAGATGATTTAAGCTTAAGTAGCCTTTAACATATACTAGTGAGAAGAATCAGTATACTATTTGAAAATTACAGATTTTGCAAGCAAATTAGATTAAGATGTCCCTTTCTGCACTCTCCCACTAAGCCAGATTTTCAGATGCCTTAGGGTTATCAGATGCCATAGAATCATCATCCTATGAGCCTAATGTGACAGCCCAGAGGAACTGTGTTCATGCTTTAGTGAGAGGAAGTTCCTTTTTACATCTAGACAAGTGTGACTTGATTTGGTTATGAACTTTTAGTAGAGCTGTGGCAGTAGACTCTTAGGCCAAGGCATGCATTGTTGTTTGGTCCTTCTTTTTTAAATTCTGCTTTCTTTACAGTGGAATACTGATTAGCAGTCATAAAAATAGGGTGGAGGGCCTGGAGAGATAGCCTCAGCAGTTAAGAGCATTTGTTGCTTTTGCAGAGAACCTGGGTTCCCAGTACCCACATGGTAGCTAATGACTAACAACCATCTGTAACTCCAGTTCCAGGGAATTTGATGCCCTCTTCTGGCCTCCATGGACATTGTATGTACATGGTGTACCTACATACATACAGGCAGAACAGTCATGCATAAAATAAAAATAAATAAAAATATGATAGATTTCTCAAGACAAAGGAAAGCAAAAGCATATAAAAGCATCAGTAGTGTGCTAAACCTGTTTGTGGTGTGGTAGTAAGACAGGATTTCCCTGTGTAGCTCAGGCTGCCCTTGAACTTGGGATCCTCCTGCATACCAAGGGCTAGGATTATAGGCATGTATAATCTGATCTTTTTTTTCTAGAAAGCTTTTAAATGACAGAAACTTGACAGCATAGTGCAGTACAGGTTAACAGACCCTCTACTTAGACTTTCTGGCTACTAACATTTTGTCACAATTGTCTCTCTACATAATTTTTTTTCTGAAGCATTTGAAATTGTCTTCTAATTTTAAGGATACAGTCATATACAATATCTTTATTACATTCAGAAACTTTTTATTTTGACTTAAAATTTTTTTTGAGACAATGTCTCATGTAGGCCAGGCTGGCCCCAAAGTCACTGTGTAGTTGAAGATGACCTTAAACTTTTGATCCTTTTGCCTCTACCTCAGGTGCTGTGATTATAAGCATGAACCACCCCACTAATTTCATGTGGTGCTGGGGATGGAACCATGGCTTCCTGTATACCAAGCAAGCACTCTACCAACTGAGCCACATCCCCAGACCCCCTTTTGACTTTATATATGTATATATTATCTAGTCTTAATTGACTAAAAAACATAACAGTTGTGGAACCACAGATCTGGCCTTGCTGTGTTTTTGAGCTAGTCCTTGGCTCAGTCTTAGGCTCTGGTGAGGATAATCTGGAGACCCTAATATGGGTCCATTCCAGCTATTGACTAAATAGTGGAGTTAGAGCAAGGAAATTTCTGTCTCTAAAATATGGGTATTTAAGCTGGGTGTGGTTGGGCACACCTGTAGTCCCAGCACTTGGGAGGCAGAGAGGCAGGTGGATCTCTGGGTTCAAGGCCAGTCTGGTCTACATAATGAGTTCCAGGACAGCTGGGGCTATAGGGAGACCCTGTCTCAATTAATTAATTAATTAATTGTATTGTGTAAAATGCTTTTTGAAGTATCTTTTAGTTCTGTGGTTCAGTGATGCTGAGTATGGATTGTTAATTTTAAGTTATTTCAAACTTTGACTATTTTGGATTAGGATAAGAGGTAAACCACTCTCTTTTTCTAACATATGCAATCTTGATACACTGTCATTGCTGTTGACAACTTGTTTGAGTGTCTGAAGTTTGTTTTTTTCCTCCTAATTTCCCCCCCCAAACAACTCTTAAAAAATATTTTATTTAATATTTTTTATGTGTATGAGTGTTTTGTCTGCATGTATGTAAGTATACCCATGTTGTGCAAAGCCCAAGGAGACCTGAAGGGGGCATCAAATCCCCTGGAACTGGAGTTATGGATGGTTATTAGCTGTCATGTGGGTGCTGGAAATTGAACCTGGGTCTTCTACAAGAGCAGCCAGTGCTCATAACCACTGAACCAACTCTCCAGCCCCCCCAACAACTCTTTTTTTTTTTGAGGGGGGGTGTCTATTTAAGATAGGGTCTCCCTATAGCCCCAACTGACCTGGAACTCACTATGTAGACCAGGCTGGCCTTGAACTCACAAAGATCCACCTGCCTCTGCCTCCCAAGTGCTGGGATTAAAGGTGTGCGCCATCACGCCTGGCTAAGAAATCTGAGCTAGTTGTGATCAATTAGTTGTAAGTGCCACTGCACTTGGATGAACCCCAACAACTCTTATTAATAGACAACACTGACATGGTTAAGTTGTTCTGAATTCCTACTATACACCTACTGTGAGTACCAGAAATGTCCACATTAACCAAGCTTATCCTTTTCTTGGGGATGGGTCCTGTTCAGAGGTGATGGGCGATGGTGAAAGTGCACATGACTCTCCTCGTGATGAAGCATTGCAGAACATCTCAGCTGATGACCTCCCAGACTCTGCAAGCCAAGCAGCCCATCCTCAGGATTCTGCTTTCTCTTACAGGTATTTTTTTTATAGGATGTATGAATTTGGGGTTTGGACTTTTCCTTCACCATTGCAATTAATTCAAGTAAAAAATGATTCGTTAAGTCACTTAAGAAATGTGTAAAGCAGGGGTGGGAGATGACTCAGTCTATGAAGTACTTGCCACACAAGCAGGAGGACCTGAATTCAGTCCCCAGTGCCTACTTAAAAAAGCCAGGCATGGTAGTGTGCACTTGTAATTGTAGTACTAGGGGAACAGCGAGATACAGTGGATCCCTAGGACTCTCTGTCCAGCAACCCAAGCCTCCTCAGGGGAACTGTAAGCCAATAACAGATCCTATCTCAAAAAGCAAGATTGATGGCATCTCTTGAGGAATGGTGCCTGAAGTTGTCCTCTGGCCTTTACACACATGCACACATATGGACACTCACAGGAACATGCACACGTGCACACACACGTACACAAATGTATAATGCAGAGAGAGAATGAAATGCTGTTTAATAAAATTACTGCAGTTGTGGATATCATATCAAAACCATTAATTTGTAGATTTAAAAAATTACAAATATGCCTCCGGAAGCTACACAAATAAATGAAATAAGGTATAATGGCACCGCCTATGTAAAGCCATCCATCCACCTGTGGGGAGCACAGTAGGGAGGACCCAGGTAATCAGGAATGTTCTGCAGTGGAATCAGCCAGGAGTAATAAGCCATTCTATGCAGCTGGAGCCTGGGTCACCCTCTCCATTCCCTGGCAGACCTCTGTTCCCAGCAGGGTTTGAGAAAGAAAATGACTTTGAGATCCTGACATTTTACATTTGTTAGGTAAGGAAATGCTCCCTCAGACAAGAAGTACCTGCTTCAAAGCATCAGTTAATCTTTAGTATACTTACAAACTTTCCTTTCTCATCTCTCCATTTTAAACTTTTTATTCTGGAAATTTTCAAATAGGCACAAAATTGAAAGCATATACTGGTGTACCCATTATCGAAGTTCAGTTAGTTACTAATATATAACATTTCTTACTTATCTAATCCACTTATTTTAAAGCAAACTCTAAGCATCATTTTACTTACAAGTATTTTGAAACTTCCTAACATTGTTTTTTCTACAGTTAAATTAGGGGGGCAGTAGCAGCCAGAGGTTTTATTTAGTTATGACTTTCCTAAATCATGTGACTTTACCATAATATAGTTTATTAAATTATTGGCAAAAAAATGGGTGAATATTTTATTTGATTAATTTGATTTCTAAATTATTTTGTACGAAGAATTTGATAAGGACAAGACTCAGAGGTAATTATGAGATGGATGAATGGTGGCCTGTGGAAGAGGCACACTCTAGCCTTTACCTAAGGCATGTTCCATTTCTCTGTTCTTTAAATGGCCCCACAGGTCCAGAAAGGTCCATAGGCACTAGCAAGTAAGTATGCAGATCTCCATGGTTCATCAGGTAGGAAGAGCTGCATTGCTGTAGTGGCTGAAGAGACCTTGCCACCAGATAGGAGTAGGTGGGTTAGGAGTTGGAAGTCATGGAATCTAATTAAGCTCAACACAAAACTCACAAGCAGTAGAGTATAGGAAGGTCTTCTTGTCAAGGGACAGGCTTGTTTGTGGCAGGATCAGCATTTCTTTCTGTTTGTTTGGGGTTTTTGTGAGACAGGCTCTCCCTGTAGTCCCAGCTGACCTGGAATGTGCTATATATAGGCCAGGGTGGCCTCAATCTTACAGAGATCTGCCTGGCTCTGCCTCCCAAGTGCTGGGATTAAAGGTGTGTGCCACCATTCCCAGCTCAGGACCAGCATTTCCAAAGAGATGGGGTAGAGGGCGTTAAGTTTGGGTCATGGACATACTCTGTCTTGGTTCTTGGCATCTGTCATAGACATTAGCATGTTATGGAAAGTGAGAAAGATTTGTTTGATTCTGTTGACCCTACTGAGCTGTCTTTGCCTAGAATATTCTTGTAACCCTCTCTTCCAGTAACTAGAGGCCTGATCTTCTCAGTGAGGGTGTCAGTCAGTTAAAACTGATCTTTTCTTCAAATGACCATTTGAAACATTTGAATTCTGAGGTAACATTAATTAATATAATAAATGTGTATAAAATGTGACCATTTATGGTTGAGGATATGCGTAGTTTGCTTGGGGCCATGGTTCTAGATGCAGCAGCCACAAAAAAGAATGTTACCATTTCTGTATAAATAATATTCTGTACTTATTCTTCAGAGATGCGAAAAAGAAACTGAGGCTTGCTTTGTGCTCCGCTGACTCTGTTGCCTTCCCAGTGTTAACCCATTCAACAAGGAACGGATTGCCAGACCATACAGACCCAGAAGGCAAGTTGCTCCAGGATAGCTTTCCCTCTCTTGTGCCTACAACTTGAACCATATGAAGCTGCTGTCATTCACCTGTCAGCTGTACAGAAATTCCTTATGATTCAATGTTATATACTTTGTGTAGGGTATTTTAAAGAATTCTGATTTTACGTATTTTCTAAATGAGAGTGGCAGTACTGCTTGGATCTGATTGATGTACCAAATGCTGAAAGGCTCTGTAAGCCCTAATAGAATTCTTGTTTGTTTGGTTTTTTTTAAATTTAGACAATGAAATTGTATGCTTCTTAAAAGTTCAGATAGCTGAGGCAATTAATTTACAAGATAAGAACTTAATGGCTCAACTTCAAGAAACAATGCGCTGTGTGTGCCGCTTTGACAATAGGACCTGCAGGAAGCTGCTGGCTTCCATTGCTGAAGACTATAGGTAACGTTCCCAGCCTGTTCCCAGCCTGCCCACTTGTACCGTACTATAAACTGTCAGTGTTCATTGTTACTGGTTTTGTTTTTTATTTTTCTTTTGATTGGTCTTTGTTGAAGAAATGAATCTAGTCTTACTACAAAGTGCATGACTACGTTTGCTTGAATCGAGATTTTGTTTGTTTGTTTTTGTTTTTTGTCTTTTTGAGATGGTCTCCCTGCAGAATACTTGGCTATTCTTTTTTTTTTTTTGGTATTTTTGAGACATGGTCTCCCTGTAGCCTCAACTGTCCTGGAACTCACTATGTAGACCAGGCTGGCCTTGAACTCACAGAGATCTGCCTGCCTCTGCCTCCTAAGTGCTGGGACTACAGGCATGCGCCACCACGCCCGGGTTTTTGTTTTGTTTTGTTTTGTTTTGAAATTATGTTTTTTATTTTATGAATGTTTTGCCTGCATGTATGTAAATGCACCTATGTTGTGCAAAGCCTGTGGAGGTGAGAAGAGGATGTTGGATCCCTTGGAGCTGGAGTTACGGAAAGTTGTTAGCTGCCATGTGGATGCTGGGAATCAACCCAGGTCCTCTAGAAGAGCAGCCAGTGCTCTTAACCACTGAGCATATTTCCAGCCCTGAACACATGCTATTCTTGCAGAGTCCCTGGGTTAGGGTTCAGTTCCCAGCACCCATTTTGTGGCTTACAGCCACCTGTAACTCTAGTTCTAGGGGATCTGACAACCTCTTCTGACCTCAAGTACCAGGCATACATGTGGTGCACATACATACATGCAGTCGAACACACACATGAAAAATGCATAAACAAATCTTAAAAAAAATAAGTGCAGTTTACTTCAGCTTTGCACGAAACCAGGTAAAGCAGGGGGCTGGGGAGATGGCTCACTGAGTAAGTATTTGCTCTGCAAGCATGAGGACCTGAGTTCAGATCCCCAGAACCCATAAAAGCTGGGCATAGTGGCATGCATCTGTGAATCCATGGGGGTGGAGGTTGGGTGCCAGATACAGGCTGATCCCAGCCTAGTGGAAACTGTAAATTCCAGGTTCAGTGAGAGACCAAGGTTCAAAAAAATAGGAAGATGATGTTGTCAAGATGGCTCAGCAGATAAGTCATTTGCCATGCAAGCCTAATGACTGGAATTCAGTCCCCAGAACCCACATAAGAGTGGAAGGGGAGAATTGACTCCACGGAAGTTGTCCTCTGACCTCCAAATGCATGCTGTGACATAACTGCATCTGCACTCGTGCACATACAATAATAATAAAAAGGGAAGCCAGGCATGGTGGTGCATGTCTTTAATCTCAGCACTCAGGAGGCATTGACAGGTGGACCTCTGTGAGATCGAGGCCAGCCTGGTCTACATAGCAAGTTTCAGGCCAGCTGGGGCTACAGGGAGACTCTGTTTGAAAAAAACAAAAAGCAAAAAATAAAGAGAAATGTGGCTGGAGAGATGGCTCAGTGGTTAAAAGTGTATACTTCTCTTTCAGACGACCCAAGTTCTATTCCCAGCATCCACATCAGGTGGCAAGCAACAACCTGTAATTCCGGTTCCAGGAGATCCAGTGTCCCTGCCTTCCATGGGCACCAGTACTCATGTATATAGACACACACACACATACACACACACACACACACACACACACGACTAAAAATAAATTTTTAAGCCGGTATGCTGATGTACACTTTTAATGCTGCCACTTGGGAGGCAGAGGCAGGTAAATATCTGAGAGTTCGAGATCAGCCTGGTCTACATGGTGAGTTCCAGGCCAGCTGGGGCTACAGGGAGACCCTGTCTCAAAAAGATGAAACAAAATTAAAATAATTTTTTAAAAAAATATTTTTTAGCTGGGCATGGTGGTACATGCCTTTAATCCCAGCACTTTGGAGGCAGAGGCAGGCGGATCTCTGAATTTGAGGCTAGCCTGCTCTACATAGATGGTTCCAGGCCAGCTGGAGCTACAGGGAGACACTGTCTCAAAAATACCCTCCCCCCAATTTTATTTTATTTGTATATGGATATTTTGCCTGCATGTATGTAAGTGTACCATGTACATGCATTGCCCCTCAGAGGCCAGGAGAGGGTGTTGGATCCCCTGGATCTGTGCCTTAGGAATTGTTACTACTTTTTGGCTGCCAGTCCTTTGCCAGTAGTTATGGGGGAAATGTAATTGTGGCAATTAGATAATATGGAGGCTCCAAGCCTTAGAGAATGAACACACTGTTATTTGTTATATTATAAACAAATAATTGGTGGAGGTTATTTAATGGTCCAGTATATATAATCTGTATTTTGTTGTTATTTTTTAGTCTTCTGTAGCAGCTAATTTTCTGTCAAGTATGGGATGCTACTAGCATGGAGACTGTGTTTCCATATAAAAGTGTGCCTGCGAAGGGACTTGTGACATTTAGTGAGTACACCAGAAATATACACAAGGATTCTCTTTCTTGAACTGGCAGCATAAAGAGTTCCCAAGATACTTGTCTGTAGCCTGGCATGCCAATTTGTAAAACCAGTCTACGAAGTAATGTTTTCTTAAAATTAAGACTCTTAGTTGCTGAAGAAAGTATTTTATATATATATATGATGGCCTGTAGAACTTTTTTTTTTCCCCCTTTTAGGAAAAGAGCCCCATATATTGCTTATCTCACCCGCTGTCGACAAGGACTACAGACCACACAGGCTCACTTGGAAAGGCTCTTGCAAAGAGTTTTGCGGGACAAAGAGGTGGCCAATCGGTATTTTACCACTGTCTGTGTGAGGTTACTGCTTGAGAGCAAAGAAAAGAAGATCAGGGAGTTCATTCAAGGTAACTAAATATCCTTAAATGAAGCATCTCTTCAATCCTGTATGATTGGGAAATCTGTTTTGCTATGCTGATTTATGGAAGTGCCTGCATGCCTTAGAACAGTTATGCCTATTTTTTTCTTTTTTGGGGAGGGGTCTTTTTTGAGACAGGGTCTCCCTGTAACCCCAGCTGTCCTGTAATGCACTAGGTAGACCAGGCTGGCCGTGAACTCACAAAGATCCACCTGCCTCTGCCTCCCAAGTGCTGGGATTAAAGGCGTGCACCACCATGCCCAGTTTATTTTCTATTTTTAAAAAAGATTAAGCCAGGTGTGGTGGCACACACCTTTAGTCCCAGCACTCAGGAGACATTTGACATCTCGTTTCTGTGAGTTCAAGGCCAGCTGGGTTTACAGGGAGACCCTGTCTCAAAAAGACCAAAAAAAAAAAAAAAAAAAAATTTTTAGTATTTGTATGTATGTGTGTGTAGTGCATGTATGTGCAGTAGGTACATGTGTCTTTGGAAGCCAACAGAGGATGTCAGGTCCCCTAGAGCTGTAGGTATAGGCAGTTGTGAACTGTCTGATATGGGTGCTGGGAACTAAGTTCCAGTCCTCTGGAAGAGCAGCAAGCCACTTTTAACTACTGAGCCATCTCTCTAGCTCTTTTTAAAATTTATTTTTTTTTATTACTTTTTTTATTTATTTATTTTGGAGGGTGTGGGCATGCCAGGGTATGTGCATGGAAGTCTAAGACAACTTGGAGGAATTTAAGGGTTCTCTCCTTCCACTATATGAATACATTGAATCAACATGGGTCTTCAGATTTGGTAGCAAGTCCCTTTACCCACTGAGCCATCTCCCAAGCCAAAGTTTCTGTGCTCTTGGAGTGGGATTGCTGTTCTGAAAGGCGGGGGAATGTTTTAGATAGAGCCTAGTCAACATTCTTAGCTGAGACCCTCAAAGAGCTCCCGAGAGCCATGACCTGAAGCATCTTTGTACCACACTGGGCTACCAGAAGTACAGCAAGAGTCATCAGCATGCTCCAGATGGGGTCACTGTGTAAATTCAGGGCTGCCACCTGCAAGGGACCTCATAAAGATCTTACAGGCTTTTCAGTGGTGGGCGACAGCTGCTCCGTCATGCTCTGAACTTTGGAGGGAAAGCAGATTCTCGTCCTCTGGGGACACCAGCTTTTCAGCTTTTCATTGATCTGCTCCCTAACACTGTTCCATTCTGTAGACATGGTATCCAGCTTGGGGTCAGTATAGAAAGCCACCCCTTCTGTCTTGTGCCTCTGTTATGGAAAGTGAAAACTGAAGATTGGAAGACCTCCATGTACTGGGTGATCTAGCACTCAGAAGGGGAGGGTGACCACAAATCTTCACAGCTTTCCCCTGAGGATCTGGTTCTTGCCTAGCACCATTTTTCAGGTCACAGTGGAGGACACTGTCACACTGGATGGAGTCCTGATTCACTATAGCCAGGTTCTGAGGCATATTTGAGGCTATTGGTCCTTTAAAAATGCAAACCGGGGCTGGAGAGATAGTGCAGCCATTAAGAATACTGACTATTCTTGCAGAAGACCCAGGTTTGAATCCCAGCACCCACATGGCAGCTAACAACTATCCATAATTCTAGTTCTAGGGGATCCGACGGCCTCTTCTGTCCTCCAAGGGCATTGCATGACACAGGTGCACTTACCTACATGCAAGCAATACATGCATACACATAAAAAATAAAATATTTTTTTAAAAAATGCAAACCACTGGCAAAGGAGAAAGGCCAGGCCTACCAGGGCTACATAGTGAGGCCCTGTCTTAAAAAAAAAAAAAAAAATCCATAAAGGAGAAAGCTGGAATAATGTGGGGGGAGGATCTTCACTTTTATGGATTCTTTTTTTGGGGGAGGGGAGCATATTTTCATGTTACATATATGAGTATTTTGCTGGCATGTATGTAAGTGCACTGTGTGTATACAATGCCCAAGGAATCCAGAAGAGGTTGTTGAATCTCCTGGAACTGGAGTTACGGAAGGTTGTTAGCTGCCATGTAAGTGCTGGATACTGAACCCAGGTGCTCTGCCAGAGCAGCCAGTGCTCTGAACCACTGAGCCATCTCTCCAGACCCTCTTTCAGGTTACTTTATTTTTATTTTTAAGATTTATTTTTTTAATTTTTTTATTTAAAGGAAGCACCAGGCCAGCTGGGCCAGTGGCCACCAGCATGGCTTTTTAATTTTTTTTAAGATTTTTTTTAAAAATTCATTTTTATTTTGTGTATGAGTATATTGCCTGCATGTGTGTAAGTGCACCTATGTTGTGCAATGCCTGTGGAGGTCAGAAGAGGGTGTTGGAATCCCTGGAACTAGAGTTATGGACAGTTGTTAGTTGCAATGTGAGTACTGGGATTCAAGCTTGGGTCTTCTGCAAGAGCAGCCAGTGCTCTTAACTGAGGAGCCAGCTCTCCAGTCCCCCTTTTAGGATTTTTAATAAACTTTGAAGCTGATGTTGTGGCCATATACATATAATACAGCACTTGGGAGGCTGAAACAGGAGGATTATGAGTTTAGGCCAGCCTTGGCTATAAAGCAAGACCCTGTCTCAAAGGAAAAACAAATAAAAAAGCTCAAAACACGGACATGATGGTACAGCCCAGTAATCCACCTGACCAGGAGGCTCAGGCAGGAAGAGCACAAGTTCAAACCTGGCTATAGAGTCAAATTTAAGACTGAGGCAGGGGCTTAGGAGTTCAAGGCATGCCCAGGCTATATTCAGAGCCTGCCTGAACTATGGAGTGATTTCAAGGCCATCTTGGGCATTTTAGTGAGATCCTGTCTCATGATTGAAAGCAAAACCAGATGAAGGCATAGCTCACTGATAGCTATATCCTAGCATATGTGAGGCCTAAGTTCAATACCCAGTGCTGCAAAAACAAAAATTAAACTTTGATATCAAATCTCTAAATTGCATTTTTTATCTCAGATTGAATATCTATAGTTTATTTTTAAAATTGAAGAAAATGAGCCAGATGTAGTACCTTTAATCTCAGCACTCAGGAGGCAGAGACAGAGGCAGAGGCAGGGAGATCTCTGTGAGATCAAGGCCTCCCTGGGATGCATAGCAAGTTCCAGGCCACCTAGGGCTACCAGGAGACCCTATCTCAAAACACCAAAACAAAACCAGAACTGGGGGTAGAGAGATGGCTTAGCAGTTAAGAGCACTTGCTGTTCCTAGAACCCATGTAGTGGCACTAACAACCGTCCTTAACTCCAGTTCCAGGGGATCTGACACCCTTTTCTGTCCTCTTCCTCATTGCACACATGTGGTACACTTACATCATACATGCTTGAAAAACACTCCTACACTTTTTTTTTTTTTTTTTTTTTTGGTCTTTTTGAGACAGGGTCTCCCTGTAGCCCCAGCTGTCCTGGAACTCAGTGCTGGGATTAAAGGCATGTGCCACCATGCCTGGCACATAATTTTTTTTAAAGCTGCATTTATTTTTATAACAAACCCCTTGTATTTAAATGTTTACATATTTCTTATTTTTCCCTGCATTTGATGATTTGGTAGCAAATGCTAAAGTAAATTGCATCCAAACATTTTTGTCTTTAAAGGTTATGGTGTTTGTCTCATTAGTGATTGAAATGATTTCTAGGGTCTCAGTGGAAGAGCATTTCTGCTCTTGCAGAGGACCCGGTTCAGTTCCCAGCACCCACATGGCAGCTAACAACTGACTGTAACTCCAGTTCCAGGGGATTCAACGCCCTCTTCTGGCCTCCTCGGGCCTTGCACTGCACAAGTGCACTTGTACATGCAGGCAATACACTCATACACTTAAAATGATAAAATATCTTTTAAAAGAATGATTTTTATAGATTTTTCCCCTTTTTCATGAGAGCTATGTTCTGAGATTCCTTCCACCCTTGTCAGTGGATTCCTAAAACTGCATAGTGCTGAGCTCTACACACCATGTGGATGGTTGAGTTGTAAGTAAAGTAACTGAACAAGCAGCATATACAGCATGGATACGCTGAACAAAATATACTTCACATGCAGGCTGGACTAAATGGGTGATTCTAGATTTGTTCCTGCTCTTCAGAGCAGAGTGCTATTTAAAACTTATTAACTGAAGCCAGGTGTGGTGGTGCACGCCTTTAATCCCAGCACTCAGGAGGCAGAGGCAGGCGGATCTCTGTGAGTTCAAGGCCAGCCTGGTCTCCATAGTTCCAGGACAGCTGGGGCTACAGGGAGACCCTGTCTCAAAAAGACCAAAAAAAAAAAACTTACTAACTGGGCCGGGAAGGTAGCTCAGCAGTTAAAGGCACTTGTCACAAAGCCTGACAAACCTGAGTTTGATTCGCAGGACCCACATGGTGAAAAGAACCACTGAATCAACTCCTGCAAGTTATCTTCTGACCTCCACATGCACGTTGTGGTGTACCCCCTCCCCCCCAATAAATAACTGTTAAAAAATAGTAAAACTTCTAAACTATTTCTAGAATTTTTCCATTTAATACTTTTGGATGAAGAGGATGGAAACAGTAGAAAACAACAGGATCAGACAGCCCGACCACAGTTTCCTTTTTAATGTTAGTTCTGTGGTGTATTTTATAAATTATTATTTTTCATTGGAGACTTTCAGAAACTCACAGCAGCTGATGATAAAACTGCCCAGGTAGAAGATTTTCTCCAGTTCCTTTATGGTGCAATGGCTCAGGATGTCATATGGCAGAATGCTAGTGAGGAGCAGCTCCAGGATGCTCAGCTTGCCATTGAACGAAGTGTGATGAATCGGATTTTCAAGCTTGCTTTCTACCCTAACCAGGATGGTGACATACTTCGTGACCAGTGAGTACTTCTGTGTATAGTGTCTGTGCTGGACTACATGGGATGTGTCGGGAAGCCCTAGATTTAGGCTGTACCTTTGGTTTGATATCTGATAGGAAATTTATCAGTTAACATTTTCACCCACCCTGGTTACATAATCAAAATAGTAATATGCAGTTTGAGGGCTTTAGGGCAGTCAGGCAGGATGTAGTATGAATTTGGTGGCCTTTCTGGAAGGTACCACTTTGTATCCTGCCACTGTATCCTGCCACAGATGTTCTTCTGTGCCTTCTCTATGTGATTATTTCTTGCTAAACATTTGATGTCAACTCAAGCATCACTTCCTTGGGAACCCTTTCCTGACTAGTGTAAATTGCTCAGCTTTCTCTTAGGCCTCACACTTTTGTTTAGCAGGTTCATGTTTGCTATCTGCCATTTGTCATGGTTTCTTAACCCAGTACTCCTGATATTTGGGGCCAGGTAGTTCTTTGACATGGGAGCTTGTCCTGGATATGGTGGGATGTTCAGCAGTGCCACTGGCTTTACACTCCAGAATCCCATAGTTCCCAACCAGTATGACAACTGAACATGTTTCTAGGTATTGCCAAATGTCTCTTGAAGGATGACATTCTCTCTTTTTCCACTACTGGGAATTGAATCTAGGGCCTTGTACATGTTAGGCAAGTACTCTCCTTATGGTTTTTTCTTTTGGGGAAGGTGGGCAGGGGTATACACACAAACAAGCATGCGTGCGTGTACATGCGCACACACACACACGTACATATGTATGTACATATGTATGTGACCATGTATAGAGGCCAGAGGTCGCTTTTTTACATGGGGGCTAGGGATCCAGTTTTTTTTTTGGTTTTTTTTTTTTTTTTTTGTTTTTTTTTTTTTTTTGGTCTTTTTGAGACAGGGTCTCCCTGTAGCTCCAGCTGACCTGGAACTCACTATGTTGACCAGGCTGACGTTGAACTCGCAGAGATCCGCCTGCCTCTGCCGGGATTAAAGGCGTGCGCCACCACACCCGGCTTCTTCCCTTCTTTTCTTTCTTTCTTTTTTTTTTTTTTTAATAAATAATTTATTGAGAATTTCATACATGCATATAAGGAGTTTTGATCAAATCCATGCCCACTCCCTCCCCTCCAACCCCTCTTTTCTGATAACTTCATGTACTCTTTCTTCTTTTATGTCTTTATTTTATTTTTTTTATGGGTATTCCCCTATTCTTGATCACTGTTTTCAAACACTCTCTTCTCTTCTGGGTTGTCCCCATCATGAGAGTAGGAAATAACACTTTTAAACCAGGAGTGGTGGTTCACCACAGTGATCTCAGAGGTTCAAGTCAAGAGGTTCAAGTCAAGTTCAAGGCCAACCCAGGTGATGGTGTTGGTGTTTCACAGTGTGAGACCCTGTCCACTTTGAATATAAACAAAAACAAAGCAATCCGTTTTTATTCACCCTATGCCACAGCATCAAGCACAGTGTTGGCTCCTGATATGTGCTCATTATATAGTTATCGGGAATTAATAGTTTATACATTAATTATACATGAGTATTAACAAGTATCCACAATTATATGGTATGTGAGTTGTGTCTCAGTAAGACTTTTAAAAAGTAATCCTCAGGGCTAGGGATGTAGCTCAGTGGGAGAATATAAAAGGTCCTGGGTTTGATCCCCAGTGTTATAATAAATAAATAGAAATCCTTAGCTAGGTGAGTTGGCACACATCTATAATCAATGCTTGGGAGGCTGAGGCAGGATACTCACAAGTCAATACTGAGACCCTGCCTCAGGGGGGAAAAAGTAATTCTGGGAAAGAAATGGAATAGTAACTGGTTATTTTAAGCAAGATATTGGGAGGGAGTATAGGGAATTTAGCTTTTGTAGTTTTCCTTTTCTATATTTTCATAAGCACTTCCCTACAATCCTGTTTCTACCTCTGTACATGTTGGGATTGTCACCATATTTTCCAGTGATGGTGTCCAAAGATTCTCAGGAGAGTTGTAATAGGATCTCAGGAGAGTTACTAGTGGTTCATGAAAGAGTTGTTGTTTCTGTGTGGTTTTTTTGTGGTAGTCCAACAGATGGAACCTAGAGTTTCATGTGTGCTAGGCCAGTGTTCTACCACTGAGTCATGTCTAAACCCATAGAAATTTAAAGGAACTGTACATGTGTTTGAGAGAATACACTTTCCTGTGAATTGAACATTAGGATTGTTCGAGCCTGCCTTCCCTCACATGTTCATAGTCCCAGAGGCTGTTCGCTCACCCTAGGCTCATTTCCTCTCCAGAGCACTTGTTTTTGGCATCAGGCATGGGATAAGGAGTTGGGGTGTTGAAGCTATGCGTATTGCAGAGAAGCTTATCCTACCCACTCCATCCATTTCTGCAGGTTTTATAGAATGTGGAGAGCAAGCAGGCTGTCTGATAAGGATTAGAAGTCAGGAGGTTGAATTTAGTCCTTGCTATTGAAGCAGACCATTAACCTTTTAAATTCCAATTCTCTTCATCTACAGAATGAGGCATGTGGTTGAGTTTTCTCCATCTGAAACTTTCGTCTTTGATTTCTAGCTCTTGAGCCCTCCTGCTTCCCCTTTTTTTTTTTTTTTCATTACTCTTTTCTTTACTGAAAATACTCAAACTAAGGGCTCTTTTCCTATCCTGGGAGTGCTGTCCTATTTGAAGAAAGGAGGACTTCTCTACTCCCCTCCCGGCTCAGTCAGCATTTCCAAGTAAATCCTGAATATGAGCCTTTGAGAGGTGTCTTGTTATGTAGTCCAACCTGGTGTTGGGCTTGAATTCATGATCTCCCTGCCATAGCCTCTTGAGGGCTAGAATTCTAGGCATGTACCACCATGCCTAGGCTTTAAATATAAGTCTTTTTTTTTTTTTTGTTTTTGTTTTTTTTACATAGTATCCTGCTACAGTTAGGTTAACCTTAAACTTACCATGTAGCACAGGCTAGACTCCAACTCATGGTATTCCTCTTGCCTCAGCCCTCTAAGTGCTTTGATTATAGGTGTGTGCTATCATGCCCAGCTAAGATGAGCCCTTTTAAACAAGAAAGAATACATATGGCTAAGAGAGAGTCTCTAATGGTAATCTGTATCTAGAAATGAGGCTAATGTTTTGTTTTGAAGAGATCAATTTTGACTATTTGTATACCTCATTTTCAGAAATGTGCATTTACATATGTGTTTTGGGGGGTTTTCAGGGTTCTTCATGAACATATCCAGAGATTGTCTAAAGTAGTGACTGCAAACCACAGAGCTCTCCAGATACCAGAGGTAATATGGGCTTGTGTGTAGCATGGTGTAAACCAAAGCTGCATGGCATACCTGGATGTGTTACCATTTTGTCAAGGCACCCGAGCACTAAAGATAGACAGCTCCACTTCACCTGGTGTCCTTCAGCTTGACTGTCAGATACCGGAAGGTGCTTTTGAGAGTTAAAATTCCCTGTTATGGAAAAGGACCTTCAAAAGAAGAGAAGAGGGAGAGCCTGCAGGAGAGCTCCTTTGCAGAGCCACTCCATCCCCAGACAGGACCTGTCCCAGCTGCCCTCCTGGGTAGGTGATACCTCAGCACTCCTTCAGACCAGTTCTACACAGCCAGCCCATTTAAGGAGGAGCTGCTGGGGGCACTCCATAGAGGGTGAAACTATTCCAGAAGAAGTGCTCAGACCAGACCCGGCCTCACATCACCTTTTAATTGCTGATACTATTTTTACCGAACATGTGTCTCTTACAGAAGAAAGCTGGAATATGTCAGCCATTTAAAGTGTCTGATTATTTTCATTAAATTCCATGTAATGAAACATTGAGTAGCATAAAGTTTTAAATTTTCTTTGGCATGGGTTTTTTGCTGTTTGATTTGTTTTGATATTTTGAGACAGGGTCTTAAATAGCTAAACTGGCTTCAAATTTGCTCTGTTGGCAAGGCTGGCCTTGAACTCCTGAGCCTCCTGCTTCCATCTCCCAAGTGCTAAGATTATAGGCATGTATCACCACACACGGCTTTAAGTCAGTTTTTCCTAGAACCACCCCAACAAGGATACATAGTGATTTTCAATTTTTTAATTTTTATTTATTTATGTATTTATTTTTTGGTCTTTTTGAAACAGGGGTTCCCTGTAACCCCAGCTGTCCTGGAACTTACTATGTAGACCAGGCTGGCTTTGAACTCAGAGATCTGCCTGCCTCTGCCTCCCAAGTGCTGGGATTAAAAGCGTGCACCACCACACCTGGTCTATTTTTTAATTTTTATTTTTATTTTATGTGTATGAGTGGATTGCCTGCATGTGTGTGAGTGCACCCATGTTGTGCAGTGCTGCAGAGGTCAGAAGAGGGCTTCGGATTCCCCTGGAACTGGAGTTGAGGATGGTTCGTAGCTGCCATGTGGGTGCTGGGAATTGAACCTTGGTCCTCTGCAAGAGCAGTCAGTGCTCTTAACCGCTGAGCCATCTCTCCAACCCCTGCAGTGATTTTTAAAGTTTCTTGTAGTAGTTTGTTTATGCTTTTGGAATAACAGGAATAGAAAATTTAATTCTAGCTATTTAAGAAACATAATGTAAAATTTCATGGGTTCTAGGTTCTGTGTTTATTGTATACCTTTACTTTTTCTCTCTGAATGGGTATCTAGGTTGCTTTTTTTTTTTTTAATCGTATGAGTGTATTGTCTGCATGTATGTGAGTGCCCCTGTGTCGTTCAGTGTCGTGGGAGGTCAGAAGATGGCTTCGGATTCCCCTGAAACTGGAGTTAAGGACGGTGCGCAGCCGCTATGAGGGTGCTGGGAATCGATCTCGGGTCCTCTGCAAGAGCAGTCAGTGCTCTTAACCACGGAGCCATCTCTCCAGCCCCTAGGTTGCTATTTTTAAATATAAAGCATTTATCTTGGGTGGGAAAGGAAGGAACTACGGTATAATTTACTGAATAAAGGAAGAAGCAGGTTCCTGCCTTTGCCTGGTGAGATGGGCACCATGGCTGCTGTATAGGTTGTCGTTAGATTCATGATCTGTATACTGTCTACTCTCTCAGGTTTATCTTCGGGAGGCACCATGGCCTTCTGCACAGTCAGAAATCAGGACAATAAGTGCTTACAAAACCCCCCGGGACAAAGTCCAGTGCATCTTAAGAATGTGCTCCACCATCATGAACCTCCTGAGCCTGGCCAATGAGGACTCTGTCCCCGGAGCAGATGACTTTGTTCCCGTATTGGTGTTCGTGCTGATAAAGGTGGGTCTCGCGGGGTGTGGTGGCACACCCCTTTAGTCCCAGCAGAGGCAGGCAGATCCCTGTGAGTTCAAGGCCAGCCTGGTCTACATAGTTTCAGGACAGCTGGGGCTACAGGGAGACCCTGTCTCAAAAAGACCAAAAAAAAAGTGGGTCTCTACCATTACCAGTTAATTTATGTGGCCTCCTGAGCAGGATGGCACAGGGTTTCACAAAGTAGTGGGTTAGAATCCTAGCTCCTTTCTAAGCCTTTAAGGTTTTTAGAGATTACTATGAAAAACAAAGTTCAGGAATTTTTGTCCAAAGGTCTGGAGTCCCTTTCACAGAAGAGCATTTGAAGAGCAGTGCTGAGATGACTAGCAGAGCACAGCACTGAGTAATCTGCTCTTACTTCCCACCTCTCTAGGCAAACCCACCCTGCCTGCTGTCCACCGTGCAGTACATCAACAGCTTCTATGCCAGCTGTCTGTCTGGAGAGGAGTCCTACTGGTGGATGCAGTTCACAGCAGCAGTGGAATTCATTAAAACCATCGATGACCGAAAGTGACCATGACACAGGCCTTCCACAGCAGCAGACTGTTAGGCAGGCAGGCAGATCTCTAAGAAAATGTAGCAGCTACTTTGAAAGCTGAAGACTGTTTTGTATAATATTGTACAGCATTCAGACATTTTAAAACAAATCTTTACTAAACAGATTAACAAGCTAATAAGCAGGTTCTTTTTAGGCTCTTTTCCTTTCTGAGTTGCTTATTTTATTTTCTTGTCCCCAAGTAGAGAGTAGCACTGTAAAAAGGGACCATGTTTTTCAGATATTTTGAAATATTAAAAATCAAAACAGAATCTCTTAGGAAATGTCCAGATTTCCATTCATGGATTCCCTGTTCTTTTGTTTTACTTTAAAAAGAACAGTCCACCTCTTTTAAGTAATGCTGTCTTCTCTGTATGCAGCTAATGGAAGGAACGCAGCAGCTGCACTGAGGATTTCAGTAGTGGTGCATTTATAGCATTCTCTATACATACACTCTCCTGAACTGAAAAGCTAGGAAGGAAATGTAAATATAATATATATTTATATTTGGATATAGTATGGACATCTTCAGATCCTAATAAACAAGGACAGTTTCTGATAGTAGGTTGTGACATACCATCTTGTGAAATGGTTTCCTTGACAAAATTTAAGCCAAGCTTAACAGCAAAGCCAGAAATATTTATTAATGTGTAATACAGTTTATTGAACTCTCTGGGTATAGAGTTTGACGAGGAAGTCATGCAGGCATGTATCACCATGGACATGTTGAGCCTGCACATAGGAGACAGACTCTACCCACCTTACATAAGAGCAGTACATGGAACTGTATGTATTGTGGTACTTCTCCTTTGAGACACTGAGCAGAAACTCCAGACAGAGCTCCTTACAGACCTTCAATTGTGAAATATTTCTGATGCTTATTCACATTGAATGCACAGACCAGGAATTCAGTGAATGTCTTTTTTTTTTAAAAAAAAAAAAACTAATTTATATTGTCTGCTCTAGTGATACAAGTTTTACTAGTTTTAAACTATTTTAATCAACCACACTATTCTTATGGAAAAAAAAATCTATTTTGGCAGGTTTCTGTGCCTTTATTTCCCTCTTCTGAAAAAAAAGTATGTGTTCTAGTAGTTTGGTTTGCATCATACATCAGTAATTAATCAGGAATGGGCTTTGGTGCCTGAGAAGCTGGCCGAGGACACACACCAAGGCTTCAAGCACAAGTCTTGTACATAGGCCATCACTGACTGGTTTCACTTTGTACGTTTCCTGAACGTGTTTCGCTTCTTTTATAACAAATGCTGCACTCCCATCCTTTTGAGTCCCTTGTTGCTGGTAGCATACAAGCATCTTTTAAGGGACCCATGAGAACTAGCCGTGAGCAGATGGCTACAGAGGCTGTCTGCGCCCCTCTGAGAATTCGGCCACACAGTGCCAAGAGAAGCTGGGTTTTCTTCATGCTTCCTTCTTATTTTTAATCCCAAAATAGGAATTTGCATGGGAGTGTGGGATGTGGTTTCTGCCTTTTAGGGAGGGATCAAACTAAACTAGAACTGAAATGTCCTTTTGAATGTTAGGTCAGGAACTCCATGTACTTCATGGCTATCATTGTCAACCCTGCCTGGGTGTTAGAAGTTACATCCTGTCATAAATACATTGCAAGCAAACTATGACATGGTTTTACAACCTAGATGGGAGTCTGACATTTACTCAATAAATGTTAAGTCAGCAGAAGATTTTGAATAGTTGGAATTCATTGTTATAAGACTTGTAAATCAATGAGTCTCTCTCTCTCTCTCTCTCTCTCTCTCTCTCTCTCTCTCTCTCTCTCTCTAATGGTAGCTAAATATATTCCATGTTATTGCTGTGGAAATAAATATAAAGATGTGGACATTGTGCCAGGGCTCTTTTCTGTGGAAGAGAGGGTAATAGATTTGGGGTTTGGGCCACACTGTGGTGCCTGAGCCAGTAGTGAGGTAGAATTTAGCATTGGTGACAACTCACGGACCCAGGTTGAAGAGCCCAGCGCTGTTCCAGGGGCAGCTAGGTTCCCTCTGCAAACTCTCTGTCCAGGAAGACTTCAGCATCAAGCATCACTGGTTTAATTTCATGTTAGAAGTCTTTCAATGTTGATTGCTGAATTTAGGAAGTACTCACTCTGTGGCAGGGTAGTGTATAAGGCAAGAAGTGATTTGAGTTGTCTATTTTTCTGGAAAGAGGAATGATCCTTTCTTACTGTGCTTTCTCCCAGCACTTGTTTTACAAAAGTAACAAAATCACCATTGAGAAATAACTCAGTAGCTTAAAATTATTATATAGAATTTACAAAGTTAATGGATAGTAACGTGGGAGGCAGTGGCTCAGGTCATGAAAGTCTTAGTAGAGTTACAAAAAAGTCCATTTATGTTTTTTGTTTTTGGTCTTTTTGAGTCAGGGTCTCTCTGTAGCCCCAGCTGGAACTCACTATGTGGACCAGGCTGGCCTCCATCTCAGAGAGATTCGCCTGCCTCTGCCTCCTGAATGCTGGGACTAAAGGCGTGCACCACCATGCCTGGCTGTATTTTTGTTAATATCCCACTACTGATATCATAGAAATAGATTACAGGTTGTCTTTCCTTGTCATTTTTTGTTTTTGTTTTGTTTTTTCGTCTTTTGGAGACAGGATCTCCCTGTAGTCCCAGCTGGCCTGGAATTCACTATGTAGACCAGGCTGTCCTTGAACTCTCAACAGAGATCCACCTGCCTCTGCTTCCAGAGTGTTGGTTTTAAAGACACACGCTAGCAGGCCGGACTCGTACATTTTTTAAACTAGTAAATATTTTGTTTTTTTCTCCCTACTTTAGGTAAAATCTTGGTCACAGTAATTGTCTCAAGTGCTTATTCTTTATTTTTAAAAAACATGCTAATGAGAGCCTTTGGTATAAATAGATTTCTGTCATAAAGGAATTTGTCTTTCTGGGCATTGTTGTATCCTGGCCATCTTCACTGGAAGTAGACTTCACAAGTACACATTCCTGAAGGGCACAAGCAAAGAAAACCTGGCTAGGCAGTGGAGCATTGTGCTCTTGCCCTAAGAAACTGCGCTCCCCCGCATACTGATCCAGGTCCCATCTTTGTATTGCCAGCTCAGGGAATGGCATTTGGACTGAGTAAAGGCCAACTAGGAGTTTTAAATGTGTGATGTTTTCAGATGTCCTTCACTAAGGTGACTGGGTGTGAAGAGGGAAGGGAGGAGCATAACTTGTCAGACTTGTTAGTGGTTACATGGGTGAGAGAGGAATGCAGTGCCAGCAGCATGTGGGCAGGGGCCTATGCTCTTTTACCTCTCCATCTCTGCTGTTTCTTTGAGGAAAAGTTTTATGTTTTCCTCTTTTTAGTTCTTTGAAACCTATCAAGTCGATTCTGCAATTGCTGTTATTGGGGAAGGGGTGTCAGAAACAGTTTTCTTAAAGTTGAAGCACTCAGTAAGCAGACTATCAGTGATGAACTATTTGGGAAACTGCCAAATGCTTGAATTACCACTGTGGTGACACAGGCCTGAGATCCTAGCACTTGGGAGGCTGAGGCAGGAGGATTGTTACTAGTTTGAGGCCAGTCTAGGCCACACAGTGTGTATTCTAGATTAGCCTGGGCTACAGAGTAAGAGCCTGTCTTAAAAAAATAAAGTGAGAGTTTTGCCCGATGAATGTTAATATATGTCGTAATTTTACCAAGTTGTGGGTGACCAGGGGTAGCGTTATTACTTGGAGGAGTGAAGGCAGAGTAGAATGAAGGAAGCTGAGCTCAGCACAGGGCGTGCTCAGCAGGGGAAAGCTGTTCTACTCATGGAGTTAGGAGCTGTCTGCCAGTGGCCCCTCATGACCTTGACTCTGCAGAGGTAATGGTCTGTCTTGCCTCCTTTGCATCACCTGTATCAAAAAGCTTTGTACTGCCATTCCTCTGGCAGGTAACAGTTTTATGTAAGCCTGGATCTTGCGCAGTTGTATGTGGGCAGGAAAGCCATCCTGCCTCTCAATGTGATCACTGCTGTGCAGCGGGGGGGCTCTGTGAAACTGATTAAAAAGGAGGGTATTCTCTTTGACTGGCTTTATGTTTCTCTGTTCTGTATTTGGAAGTGTTGCTAAATATCTACCTCACTTTTTTTTTTTTTTTTTTTTTAAAAAGGGTTTCCCTTTAGTTCCCACCTGGCCTGGACACCATATTTTAAACACGGCTGCGCTTTATTTTGTTCTTTCTCTATTTATTTATTTATTTTTGTCTTTTTGAGACAGGATCTCCCTGTAGTTCCCAGCTGGCCTGGAACTCAGTATGTAGACCAGGCTGGCCTTGATCTTGATCTTACAGAGATCCTCCTGTCTGCCTTCTGAGTGCTGCCCTACCTCACTTCTTAAAAGTTACTGATATTGTCCTTGATTATATGCTTGTCTTTTTCATTTGAAAAACAAAACCTCTGGGACTAGAGAGATGGCTCAGCAGTTAAAAGCACTGGATGCTCAGGCAGAGGACCCAGGTTCGAGTCCCAACACCCACATGGTTAAGAGCTGTCTGTAACTCCAGTTCCAGAGGAATCTGACACCCTCTTCTGACCTGCATGGGCATTGCACAGCATGGGTACACTTATGTACACACAGGCAATACATACTCATATACATAAGATAAAAATAATAAACTTGTTATCTTTGGTTTTTGTTTTTGTCTTTTTGAGACAGGGTCTCCCTGTATCCCCAGCTGGCCTGGAACTCACTATGTAGACCAGGCTGGCCTCGAACTCACAGAGATCTGCCTGCCTCTGCCTCCCAGGCACTGGGACTATAGGACTGTGCCACCACGACCAGTCTAATAAACTATTAAAAAAAACAAAAAATCCAAAACTTCTGTAGATACTTGTCCATATGGAAGATTGCAAGTTTGAAGCTAGCCTATCTCAACAAAAACAAGTCAATATGATACTAGAAGGATCTAGAATGACCCAGCAATCACTGAGCTGACCAGCTAGTTTGAGCACATTTCCAAGCAACCCCTATACTTCGTGGCTGCTCACTGGCTTCACTGCCTACAGTGTTCATGGACACTGATATTAATCTTAGTGGAGGAAGTTGCTCAGAGTTGACAGCCCTAACTTGTAGGCAGGCACCTTCTTGAGGCTTTTCTCGGGGGGGGGGCGGGGTGCTTTCTCTGTGTAGATACACTTCCCATTCAGAGGAAAAGAATTAGAAAGCTCGAGTAGAGCTTGATAGTCATTTTCACTGGTCAGAGTTACAATGTGGGCTCTGACTTCCCTACAGTTGAGAGAATTCAATGTCTCTTGTCAAGTTGTAGTTAACAGTGTCTTTTGTACTCTGGTAGGCCTGTGCCCACTTAGGCCCTCTCTAACTAGGCAGCTCTGGAGTGCCAAGTAGGCTCTGTCAGCACTTTTGCAGTGCTTGGCTGTCCACTCTGGAAAGTGGAACCCTTCAAGTAAAAGAGCACTGAGTTCAGGAGTCCTTCCATCGGCTTCAATGGGAAAGTTAGTCCACAGGTTTAACATCTATCAGATAATCATACAAACCATGGCTGAGGAGACCCATGGAATATCTACATGGAAAACAATCTTCCAAATGTTTTGACCTTTTGTAGACAACAAGCTTGAAACCATGATAATCTGCTATCTTAAGAATCCAGCATGCTGCTGGCTAAAAACATGAAAATGTATGGTCCTGTCAAGAATACCCAATATGATTTTTAAAAGGACATTTTTATTTCCCCTCTCCTTAGCTCTAATGCATAGTTTGGGCAAAACTTCTCTGACCAAGCCTGTCGAAACCTACTGTTTCTTCTATCACTTCCTGATGAACTCCATCAAGGGACCCAGTCTATGACCAAGTGAGTTGTCATATTTGGTAGTAGACTAGGGATGGGATCATTTTTACATGCTCTGGGGGATGCTGCCCAGGAGTGTCCTACTTTTTAATATTATCCTATGACACCTTCATCTACAGATGTGTTGGGTCATATTTGTAGCTACCTGGGAGGTGTGCACCTCCTGGACACACATCACAATAGGCCTGCTTCTAGGCCATTATCCCCCAAACCTCCCTGGAGTATTCTTGCTGGAATATGTCAAAGTCCACAGGGATCTTGGCCTTGAACTCCTGCCTCCACCCCCTGAATCCCGGGATTACAGGTATGTAGCACCATGCCCAGAGACATCAGGAATCTTCAGGCAGTTTTCTAGTCGAAGCTTATTATTCCCAGAGAAGTCTCAGATTCCCCTGAGAGCCAGCGTTCATGAAGTAGAAGTCTGTTCCACCCAAATTGCTCGCTTGGGGACGCTATAAGATTTCTTCCTTTGTTCCCAGGATAACCACTGAATCGATTTCTGGGGGAAGATCCCAGGAATCTGCATTCCTAGAGGTCTCCACCTGCCTCCTGCTTACTAAAGTTTTGGATCAACTGTGGCATCAACTCAAGCTTGTTTCCACATCTCACAAGGGAGGCATGTGTGACTAGGGAAGGCCCTTCCAAGGGTGAGAATGCTTGCCTGGCAGTCAGTACAACTTAGCCTTTAAGGACTTTTTAAAGATTGTATTTATTTATTTGTTTGTTTTTTGGTCTTTTTGAAGCAGGGTCTCCCTGTAGCCCCAGCTGGCCTGGAACTCACTATGTAGTCCTTGAGAACAGTGGGAAGGTAAATTACTTCCAGGACCCTCTGGTGCCTTCTCCACACCCAAGACCCACATACTGGGACTGGAGAGATGGCTCAGAGGTTAAGAACACTTGCTCTTGGAGAGGACCTGGGTTCAGTTCCCAGCACCGACATGGTGGCTAGAAACGATCTGTAACTCCAGTTCCAGGGGCTCTGGTAACTACTGGCCTCTGCAATAGCAGCATGCACGTTGTGCATGTACATACATAGACGAAACACTCATACACATAAAAAAATCTTTTAAAATTTGCTTTATCCCATAACATAAAAATGCCTGTGGTAGGAACCCTCCACCAATCAGGGGCTTCCCCAGCTGCTGGACGGTGTAAGTGTCTGATCTGGTGTTCTATCTGTTGTTTGATGGTTTTGTTTGCTTGTTTTTTGCTTTGCTTGCTGTATGCTTCATAAACTTACTCCTCCAAAACTCAAAGTGCAACTGTCATGAATCACTCTTTACAGAACACATAACAAAACAGGAGACTGAGGGACCAAGGAGGCAATGCAGTCATACCAGGACAGGCCCTCCCCAGAGGTTGTTGCTTGCTTGAGTCTGTCATGGCTGAGCCTAGGTTCCTGAGACAGGCAGGTGTACCCCACTTGAAACGCTTGGTTTTTCAGTAAATGGGGCAGGGACCCAGAGAGGGAAAAGACCTCTGAAGACAGGCTGGTGGGGTGGTCACCTTGCTGGTGGGCATCCCTGGCCCCACTACTCTGGTCCTCAGCCTCTTCCCTTCCCCTCCCAGTTTCCTTTCCTACCTTCATCTCTAGCATGGCTCACTCAGCAGCTTGCTACCTGAGCAGCGGCAAATGCAGCCTCCATCATCCAACACCATTTCAGTCATAAAGGCAGAACAAGTTCCCCAGAGCTAGAGTCCACACACCAACTATTCGGCACAGGGTTAGGAGTGCTGAAGTGCACAGCCTGCTCTCTACAGACTGTTGAGCCCAGTGCTGTTTGCAGGGAACACTGGTCACAACTGGGGAAAACCACATATGAAACACTTTTAGATGTCCAGACAGAGGAAACTGACACAAGAGGAGAGGTAGAAATTTGAGTGTCACTGACCACCATCATGTTCTGGTGATGTTTAGGAATTCATGGTTAAGGACATAGCACTACATAACCAGGCAGATTGTGAGTGAAGAAAACCTGTGGGTCTCAGCTTATGAAAAGAGCTGTCCTGGGAGGTAGAGATGGCTGAGTGGCTAAACAGTGTGTACTGACTGCTCTTACAGTCGGTTCCCAGCACTCATGTTGGGTGGTTTACTGCCTGTAATTCTAGCTCCAGGTGGATCTGACACCGCTAGCCTCCGGGGGAACCTGCACTCACATACACATACCCATACAGAAACACATACACACACATAATTTAGAATAAAAATATTTTGGGGGGGATCTTTTTTGAGACAGGGTCTCCCTATAGCCCCAGCTGGCCTGGAACTCACTATGTAGACCAGGCTGACATTGAACTCAGAGTTCCACCTGCCTCTGCCAACATGCCCAGTTAAAAATAATTAAGAAGGGCTGGGCTTGGTGGTGTACACCTTTAATCCCAGCACTTGGGAGGCAGAGGCAGGTAGATCTCTGTGAGTTCTAGGCCAGGCTGGTTTACATAGTGAATCCAGGACAGCTGGGGCTACAGGGAGACCCTATCTCAAAGAGACCAAAAAAATTGAAAAGAAAATTAAGAAAACAGCTGTCTTTAGCTAAGCACTGTGGCACATACTTATAATCCTAGCATTCTAGAGGTGGGGCCAAGGGGGTCAGTTCAAGGCTACTATTGACTACAGTTCAAAGCAGATTGGAGACCCTGACTCAACAAAGTGGGGGGTGGGGGCGTGTGGTGGAATGGCTCAGTAGCTAAAGACGTGCCATCAATCCCCAGGACCACATGATGGATAGTGAACTGAATACAGTTGTCCTCTGACCTCATGAGCACCATGACATGGGTACCCACCCACACAAATATAATTAAGTTAAAAATAGGGCTGGGCATGGTGGTGTATGCCTTTAATCCCACCACACAGGAGACTGAGACAGGCAGGTCCTTGTAAATGAGGCCAGCCTTGTCTATGAAGAGCCAGAATGCACTGACTCCATTTGCTTAGCTTCTTCAGACAAGCCCGGACAAGCTCAGGCATATTGTAAATTTTTCCAGTTGCTTCCCCCCCCCCCCCCCCCGGCCCCAGGAAGCTACAGATGATTAAGCAAGCCCTAAACATATAAAAGCCTTGTAAGGTATGAACAAAAACTTCTGGCCCTAAAGATATCAGTCAGCACATTCCAATGCCCTGAAGACAGCCCCTACCAATCAAAACTTCCCCCATACTCAGGATATGGGGCCATCCAATTATTTTAAGAGATGCTTGGCGCACATGGGTTTGTGTGAAGTTCT